TTGTTAACATTTCCGTTAAGAACATGGATAAATTTATAAATTCACACTCCTTTCTCTCCTCAATTAAGCTTCCTCCCTATCCTCGCACTCCTTTCCCAAACCTGTCACTGAGTTTGAAGCGTTGAACCCAAAACCGAAATCATCACTCTTCTCTCAATTGTTTGTCTAAATGGTTGAACCCAAATTTAAAACCAGTAACCTTCATGGATGAGTTTTAATGTTTTCTTTCTTTGCAATTTCTTAAGTCAAACCGATAAAACTCATCCATAAAGCTTATTGGTTTTGATTTTAGGTTCCACCAAGAAGAGTAATAATTGAGAGAAAAATGATCATTTCAGTTTTAGGTTTAGAGCTTCAAACTCATCGACGAGTTTGGGAAAGAATACAAGAGGAGGGAGGAAGCTTAATTGAGGAGAGAGAGAAGTATGAATATTCAATTTTATCCATGTTCTTAACAAAAACATAGTAAAGGACCATTCGTGAAAAATGATATAATAATTGCGGACTAAATTAGTAATATTTGATATGTAGAGACTAAATATGTAAAACGACCTATAACTGGGGAACTTTTATTCAATTTACTCAAAATAATAAATTATAATTACAGTGTATTATTTATAGAGTGTAAGATATGGTTTAAGTAAGTATTGAAAAGTGAATTATTAAAATATTTTTGATAGTCTATAATACAATATACTCCTTCCGTCCACAAAAAAACTTCCAACTTTCCTTTTTCGTCCGTCCACAAATAAACTTCTCATTTCCTTTTTTGGAAAGTTTTTAATACTAAAAAGACTTAATTACCCTCCATTCACTCTCTCCCCTTATCTTTTTTTCCACCAAGGTTCAAATGACATTGAACCTTAATGTCATAGGATGACCCGAGGCTGCTTCGGTGCCCCGTTCGTAAAATTGACGGTTCCTACCCCCCCGGTAAACCCCCCACCCCGGCCCCGACCCGAACACATCCCCCCACCCCCTTCAATTGCACCCCACAAGTTGATTTTGACTTTGGAGTCAAATTTTGACTCCAAAGTCAAAATCAACTTGTGGGGTGCAATTGAAGGGGGTGGGGGGGTGTGTTCGGGTCGGGGCCGGGGTGGGGGGTTTACCGGGGGGGTTATGGGGGGTAGGAACCGTCAATTTTACGAACGGGGCACCGGAGCAGCCCCGGGTCATCCTATGACATTAAGGTTCAATGTCATTTGAACCTTCTCCTTTTTTTTTCCATTCTCTCTCTCCCTTGTCTTTTTTTTTTCTTCACCGCAACCATACCTTTTTCTTCTTCTCCGTTCTTTTCCTCTTTTCTTCACTTCTCTTTCTTTTCTCTTTTCTTCTTCATCTTCTTTCTTTTCTAGTTCTCCGTTCTTCTTCATCTTCTTTCTTTTCTCTTTTCTTCTTCTTCTTCTTCTTTCTTTTCTCTTTTCTTCTTCTTCTTCTTCCTTTTCTCTTTTCTTCTTCTTCTTCTTCTTCTTCTTCTTTCTTTTCTTTTTCCTCCCCTTCTTATTTTGTCCCGTCACCCAAGAATGGGAGCACTGGAAAACCGAGGCGGTGGTCGGAGGTGTGTGGCGGCCGGATCCGGACAGATCTAATGTCTCCCCTTCTTATTTTTCCCCGTCACCCAAGATTGGGAGCACTGGAAAAACGAGGCGGTGGTCGGAGGTGTGTGGCGGCCGGATCTGGACAGATCTAATGTAGTATAATCTCCATCACCTCCGCCCATTTAATTTTTCTTTTCCCAAAGTTTAATTTTTGTGGTAATAATGGTTGAAGGAGATGTATGATTGTTCAAAGAAGGAAGTGAGGATTGAGGAAGAGAGTAGGTGTAAGGGTAATATGGGAAAGTCAAAGACAATTCAACTTTTCTTAAAGTGTGTGTCGGGTCAAATCGGAAAGTTCTTTTTTGGACAGAGGGTATTATGAAAATTTAAAATGCCCATTGGAGATGCTGAATTACTAATGGCACTCCATTTTTTTAAGTCATTAAAGTGAAAATTATGCCTTTCATCATCATTTTTTTGAAACAAACCAACTGGGCAAATACAAAGGCCGGAAGAGTAGCGTCTCAAGGTTGAGGAAGATCCTCAACACGTCTAGCTAAATTATGAGCAATAACATTCAAATGACGAGGAACAAAAATAATGATAGAGATAAAATAAAAACTAGCAAAAAGAGCCTTACAATCCTCAATCAATGTACCAAGACACAATGTCATAACCGAAGAATCCACACGCATCTCCCACACCACAAGGTTCCTCTTCTTCCACAAAAACAAAAGTCGCTAGGCAATCTATTGTAAATCACTTGAAGATACCATTGAACCGCAGTGAGAAATGCGAACGCATGTGGTGCATTAGCGTGTCAAACCTAAAGGCCATAAAAATTAGAAAAATAAGCAAAAATCTTGAAAACGCAGTGAGATTTTATTAAATAAGTCAAACTTTTATTCCACTTCAAAAATGCACTGCCGGCTGGAATTGCACATCGTGATAGACAAAAAACACCCCCACTCGTCTTGGATCCTAGCTCTACCACTGTTTATACCGTTATATGTATAAAATTTGTAAATAAATGTTTGGGGTCAAAACTTCGTGCATTAAGCAATTGTCACATGAAAAATATGTATTTGGGAGTGTAATGAGTGTATTATATTTTTAAATATATAAATTTTATTTTTTAAAATTGTACACCAGTATTCAAATAAACTGGATTAAAAAAATTTGATCAAACATTTTAAATTAAAAATGAGTAAAATCCATAAAAAATCCTCAGTTATAGTTCGTCTTATATATTTAGTACTTACATATCAAATATCAATAATTTAGTCCCCCATTATTATATTGTTTCCATGAATGGTCCTTTGTAATATTTCTGTTAAAAACGTGTATAAAATTGTAAATTCATGCTCTACTGTCTCCTCAATTAAGCTTCCCCCCTCTTCTCGCACTCCTTTTCCAAATCTGTCACTGAGTTTGAAGTTTTCAACCTAAAACCGAAATCGTCACTCCTCTCTCAATTGTTCGTTTCTTGATGGAACCCAAAAATCGAAACTAGTAACCTTGAGTTTTAATGTTTGTTTTCTTTGTAATTTTTTGATACTAACCCATAAAACTAACACCTTGGTTCCCATGACCTTGGGAACCAATGTCATGAGATGACCCGGGAGCGCTCCGGCGTCCCGTTCGTAAAATTGACAGTTCCTACCTCCCCTAACCCCCCGGTAAACCCATCCACCCCGCCCCGAACAAACCCCCCCCACCCCCTTCAATTGCACCCCACAAGTCGATTTTGACTTTGGAGTCAAATTTTGACTCCAAAGTCAAAATCGACTTGTGGGGTGCAATTGAAGGGGGTGGGGGTGGGGGGGTTTGTTCGGGGCGGGGCAGGATGGAGGGGTTTACTGGGGGGTTAGGGGGGTAGGAACCGTCAATTTTACGAACGGGACGCCGGAGCGCTCCCGGGTCATCCCATGACATTGGTTCCCAATGTCATGGGAACCTTCCCCTAAAACAAATCCATGAAGGTTATTGGTTTCGATTTTTGACTCCACCTGGAAGATGAACAATTGAGAGAGGAATGACCGTTTCCATTTTGGATTTAGAACTTGAAACTCAGTGACGGGTTTGGGAAAGGAGTGCGAGTGGAGGGAGAAACATTAATTGAGGAGAGAGAAGAGCGTGAATTTATAATTTTATCCACATTTTTAACGGAAATGTTAACAAAGGACCATTCGTGGAAAATAATATAATAATTGGTGACTAAATTATTGATATTTGATATGTAGGGACTAAATATGTAAAATTAACTATAACTGTAGACCTTTTATAGAATTTACTCATTAAAAGTTAAAGTTTATTGAGTATTCATTAAGAATCAAAATTAATAATTTAACCCAAAACAAAACTGCAAAACAAAAAGTGACAGTAAGTAAACAATAAAGGACATAACTTGCCACCAAGAAAGACCTAATGAGAGGCGTAGGGGAGCGAATTGCCGAAATAGTTTATCTTTTGGACCGTGCTAGGGTAACTTCGCATGAGTGACCTCATGCTTGCATTAACACGCAAAGACAATAATCGTCTTTGCTGCACACATGATTATTTATACTTGTCTACACATGATTATTTATACGTGTCTGTGAAAGTATGGGATCACCCATGTGGAGTTACCTAACTTTAGCCCTATTTTTTATGGCAGCCAGCAGGGGTGGAAACACTCTCATTGACATTTAGGCAAAGGTAAGAGAATAACAAAGATTTCTTCTTTACTTTTGATATTAAAGTCGATGATTCTTTGTTTATCTTTCTGGCGGGAAATAAGGACATCATCGAATACTTTAGAATCAAAATCTTTGTTTATATGGAGTATATTCTTTGTTAAGAATAACATACTAAAAATAAGACAATCTCAATAACTAATGAGTAATGATCTTTACTAGAACAAAGTAATATTGTAATAAAACAAGACTTTGTTCGTTTGATATGAAAAAAACATAATCAAATTTTGGAAGAAATTAGAAAAATTGGAAGAAACTAAAAGAAATGGAAAGAAACTAGAAGTAGATAAGTACTGACAGAATTAGAAATGTTGGAAAAAATAGTTTTAAAAAATTACTCAATTGAATAATCACGCAAATAAATATGAAAGATAACTCATTTTGAATAAAAAATTCATCTTTATCCGCATTTGAGGTACCATGTTATAAATTTAGATATATGCTATTATTGTAAATATTCATCATAGTCGTCGTTGAAAGAAATTGAAATAAGTTGAAATAAAGTGGAAAGTTAACTATTATAACCCAAATGAACAAACCCTAAGGAATGAGAACAATTCTACAAAATTTAGCAATTATTCATGATAATACCTTTATAATTTGACAAGAATATGTTCCAACATATTGCTAATTTGTGGAGATAATAAGCTTGGACATCGCAATCAATAAGTCTGATTCCGTTGGTGAACATTAGATATATCTTGATTTTGTGAACTGAATTTAAAATGCATAAACTTTTGTATTCCGAACCCACTGAATAAAAGTTATGCAAGTCCACATCACTATTAGATGACAAATAAAACTACGCGAGTAGGTTATATTACATGTATACCTTAGAACCACCAAATCACTACTCATTCCCAGCTATAATTGGATGATTTAGTATGGAGTATCTTCTTTTTCAAGTTTATCAAATGAATATAATCATCAAAACAGAAAAAGATTATTTCATTTTACTGCCATGTTTCTTCTGGAATTTCTTGTGCCCAGCTCTTTTAGCACCACCTTTTTGCTTACTGGGATTCTTATCTTCACTCTTTCTCTTTCCAGGTTTGCCAGGACTCGATTTTCCTCTTCGTTCTGCGGCTTGTGTCATCGGAGTACTGCCACGGGTGTAGGCCCATTTGCGGCTGGTAGAAAGATCAGCAGCTGCCTGCTTCCTTCTTTTAGGTCCAATGGAAGCTCCTTCATCTCCGTTGTGATGCTTACCAGTGACATCATTTTGCCTCCTTTGCCATTTCCTCTTTTTGCTGTTTTGCACAATACCCGAATCTCCGCAGCCCCCACTGTTATGATCCATGAAACCAATCAGCAAGCATTCATGCTATAATAATATGTATGTCATCAATTTAAAAGCTACTCCGTAATTAGTATAAACTATGCTTTAGGTTAACGTCTGGGGATGGGAGGTGCAGACCCCTTTAAAGAAGTAGAGGCAGGAGTTTCTTTAACGCTCTTCTTTCTATAACGGTTCTGCATAAAAAAACATCCTTCAGTCGCCCACACATTTTACAGAAACAGTAATAAGAAAAAATGCATGGATATCGTAAAGGAAAAGATTGCCTCAGTTAAACTCTGGAGAAAGTCTGTGTACTCCTCAGGTGCAATTGACTTGATAGTGTCAGTACCACATTTTCTTGCAAGGATCTCCATTACAACACTGACCTGAATTTTGGAGCCCCCCCCAAAAAAAAGCAAATCAAAAGAGTGACACTGATGATACTGAAAATATAAACCATGTCGAAGAATATTGAGAGCTTCAGCAAAATGGTTTCATAAACATACTGGCATGCGCGGGACATGCTAGAAAAAAAAAAGTTGAGTTTCTATCCCGCTATGCCACTCATACTGTTCATTGGGACTTATAAAGCAAAGACTGCACACCTTTGATCTAAAATGATGACGGGAAGTAGCGGTCCAAGGTAGAACTCCATTCACAATGTCAGGAAGAAAAAGGTTCAGGTTATTTGACTGAAGGCATGATACTAATACCTTCACAAAGCCCAAGACAGCCTGCCCAAAATCGTCTTTCAGACACAAGCACACATGGAGTAAGAGATATAGTGTATGGTGGAAGGCCAACATGTACTCACCTTTATTACTTCAAGACCTTTACTTTTCAGCAGAGCAAGAACTGAAGGAACCAGATCAGGCACTAATTGGCAGATATCTGAATCATTGTAAATCAAGACAGACAGTGCAGAAATTGCACCACTTTTTATCTGAGGGGGACCAGAAAGGTAACCCATGACCTGTGATATCAAAGGTTGCACCATTGAGCAGCTTTAAAGCAAGGCAGAATGATTTATTCCATCACAGATTTCTAAGAAATGTTATTTTTTTGTTATTAAAGAAGCACCCACCCCTTAGCTGCAGGTACACTTGCACATATGTTATTGAATGCCAAGTGAATCTCCAAGTACAAAAAGGAAGTGTTTTCTTCTCACAAAATATTTTGACTCATTTTCTGGACATAAATTCAAACTAAAACCATATGCTAATGTCCACACAAACTTGCAATAAACTCTAATACTCCCACATTTCAAATCCAAAGCAAATCAATGATTTATTACCATAGTGATGAAATTTTTATAAGATTCCAGAGACATTTCAGTCAAAGAGTTTTGCATGTAGGAACATATTCCAGTAAGTACATCGTAGGCTGCTTTTCTTCCTTCGTTGTTAGACTGCACACAGTTGATACATTGACATTACTCAGATTATACTAATGAAAATATTAAAATAAAAAAACAATGTCATATGCTATATTATAACTTGATGCATAGGAGAACAGGGATCATTCATGTGTAAAAAGGATATAAGACATGGTATTGCAGCAAATACTTGTGAAGCACAAAAAAACAGGTGAGGAAATCAATGTGCCAATATAAAAATAACAATACCCTGTTGTAAATTGTAATTAAGTATATCGATTATGAGAGTCATGAAACACAACATATAGAAGTCCACAGAAAGTAAATATAACAGCCTACCCAATGTAGTCCCACAAGTGGGGTTAGTCCAAGGTTACGGCAGCTAGGCGGGGCGAGGCTCCGAGTACCTTCTAATTGCCTAGGCAACTAGGCTACCGACTAGGCAACAATTAGGCGAGTGAGTATGACCCTTCTAGTGAGAAATGAGAATGATTCATTTTTTAGTTCGTCATGGTGCTTCGAAATAAGGTAGTGCACTTTTGGCCGTGGCGGCAAGATTTGATTTATTTACAAAAATGCCACCACAATTTTTTTGGTTTTTGTTTTTTTTAATAGCCTTTAGATCTTAAATCGAATGGATTGTATGTATTCTCATTTCTTCCACCATGCATCATTCTCACATGAACACACACATTATATATATACCTCAACCTGCTCTACCTCAGCTTACCCTCCACACGTGTCACTCTTACTCGTCCCCTATTAACCTCATTCTAAATCCTATCCAACCTTGTTTATCCACATATCTACCATAACATCTGCAATGCTGCTACATGTAGTTTGCTAATGTGGGTCTTCAGTTTTCTTAACCACGTTGCACATTGCGTTGTACAGCATCGCTGATCTAACTGACTGATAGAACTTTTCTTTCATCCTAGCCAAAATCTTCCTATCATAGAGAACCCCCACTGTCCAAGCAACTTCAATACGGTGAGCAACATCCCATCTATCTCCCTCCGTCCCCATAAGATCTTCTCATTTTGACTTTTTGCGGTTTTTAAATAGAGTTGAAAAAAGGTGAAAATTTACCATAATACCTTTAATGAAAATGGGTGAAGTGTATTGGATGAGTTAGATGAGGTGTAATAAATAAAGTAAGTGAGAGTAATTGTGGTATTTTAATTGTTAAAAAAGGTAATGAGAAGATCTATGGTGGACAAATAAAAAGGGCTAATGAGAAGATCTATGAGGGACGGAGGGAGTAATAAATAGAGATGTGTGGCCTTAGAGATGCAAACCATAGAGATGCTGAACAAGCTTGTCATAAAAAATGGGCTAGTTATTGCACAAACAATAAATAATAACTAAATTAAATAGAGAAATTTACCTAAATAGGACTAAAACATAATGATTTTCCCAATATAGGACCATATGTTTTTATTTCCCAATGTAAGACTTTTGGTCATTATCAAGTAGTCACTATTCAAGTAAATATCTAATATCTAACATTACTGGACATTATTCCTCCCACTAGGTCATTATTAAGTCCTATTTAGGGAATAAAAAAGTTTAAATCCTACATTAGAAAAATCGTTATGTTTTAGTCCTATTTAATGCAAAATTCACAATTAAATATTATTAAAAAATTACTTAAATAATACTAAATTAAGATAAAAATATTACTTCGTAGTATATTACCTGAAGTCCAAAGCAGATAGGACTCACAAAAGCCATAGCGAAGAGCAACCAATGAATCAATTCGGAGGGAAGATCGGGGAAAACGAATGACCGAGGGAAGATGGGTGCACCAAGTTTGCGGCACAGAAGATCGAGAAAGATGATTGGCACAAAAGATCGAGAAAGATGATTGGCACAGAAGATCGGGGAAGATGATCAGCACAAGAGATCAAGAAAAATAATTCAGAAAGATGATCGAGAAAGGTACAAGGCCATTAGATGAGAGGCGACACTTACCTAATCGCCTTAAGTGTTTCTAGGCAAGTCACCCAGCGAGGCGTTCAACACAAAGCGCCTTAGGCCCCGTTCCGTTCAACTTATTTTTTCTTATTTTTTCTTATTCTTATTAAAATCAGATTAGATCAGACCAGATCAGATCGAATCAGATTAGATCGAATCAGATCAAATCAGATCCAATCAGATCAGATAAAATCAGATCAGATCAGATCCAATCAGATCAGATCAAATCCAATCAAATAAGATCAGACCAGATCAGATCCCATCAAGAATTATTATTATTATTATTATTATTATTATTATTGTTATTATTATTATTATTCTTAAAAATGAAAAAGAATAAACTTTAGAAATAAGTTAAATAGAAAACTGATTAAGTAATCCTTATTTATTAGACGTCGGAAAAATAATTTTTAAAATACATTGACAATGCCAATCTAATTTTTACTTTTAGAAGACATTTTTATTGCTCCCTGTAATTTGAGTTTCTAAAGTTTTGATTTTTTTTGTAAGGATGAGATATTTTAATAAAAATTCTATCTCTTATATATATTGATTATCTAAATTTAATTACTTTTTAATGTATATATAAATTTAATATTGATTCTAATGTATATATGAAGTAATTATTAAAATATTAAATTAATATTCTAATTTCACAAAAAAATAATCATAAAATATAAAATGTTATTACATTATAATATTAATGATTATTCTAATATATGAATTAACTACTTTTGTTTTACTAAAAAATATTGATAAAATAAAAAATATTGATTATATTAAAATATGAATTATCACTACAATTTTCAAACGTTATTATAAAGTCAAATCAAATTATTGATTTGAATTTTAAATCAAATCATAATTAATCAGATCAGATCAGATCCAATCAGATCAGACCAGATCCAATCAGATCAGATTAGATTCAATCAGATCAGATCAGATTAGAACTTATTAAAATCAGATCAGATTAGAAAAAATAAGTTGAACGGAACGGAGCCTTAGCTACTTAGCGATGCCTTAAGAACTATGGATGAAATATAGAAAAATAAATGCTTTCTTCATCATAGGATTGAAAGAATAACAACAACAACCTAGTTGAATCCCACTACAGTAGGGTCTGGGAGCATTTTTCTTCATTTCGCTGAAAGGATTGTCCATCCTATAGTTATCCTATAAACCATCATCGCCTAAATCATAACAATAAATTCATGAAAAACAATAGTGGCAAAAGTTTACGATGAATGCTTCCTGTGTGGAATGTCATAACCTTATCGTCATTGCCATAATCATATGCTGATTCCAAATGGATGAGAAATATCATGACACGTACAAATCAACGGTGATTTGAGATAGTTTCTAAAATCATGTTCCATCCTAGAGTTAAATTGTAAATATCAGCTTTAAAATCATGGAACATAAAAGACATGCAATCATGTTTAACGACAATTTGATATAACACCATAATAACTAAATAAACACCCCATATATCTAACGAAACCAAACTAGTGATCTCATCAGACGTGTCTATTCAATAATATCAGACATGAATAATCTGAGCCTCCAGAGGAGTTGAGTGTGTTGACCAGATCAGAATAGAGCGGCTCAGATCATCCACATCTAACATAATCTGTGTCTAACATAATCTGTGTCTATTTGTGTCTGATAGGCACGTGTGATGAGAGCATTACTCTATATAGTGATATGTACGCCATAAATTCATACTACGTTTAATTAAGTAGTATGTTGAACAGATCAGAATTCGGTGCTACTCCATCTATCTTGTTGCCTTCATTCTTCTTTTGTCCCAAAATTATCTCTACTTTCTTTTAGGAATGGATTGTGGTTGACATTGTTTATCACTTATCAACAAATTTAAACCACGTCTTTTACTTTACTAAAACAGTGCAAATTCAAATTAGGTGTTAAACAAGGGGCAAGGTATAACTTAGCATTGGGCTTATTAACTACATTTGAGATTCTTACTTCTTTTAATGCAAGTATAATCTCATTGAGAATGAGAAAAGCTTGTGGGTTATCCTCCTCCAAGTTTTCCTACAAGATGCATCACAAATAGAGAATTTATCAGAAGAAGATGCTACAATAGGAAATACTCTCTTCGTCCCAGTGTATTTGTCTGGTTTGACTTTTTCGAACCAAACTGGACAAACTTTAATCATCAATTACTCTCAATTTGTATTGCATATTAATACAGTAGAATAAATCTTTGAAAGTTCTAAACAAGTTAAATATATTTACATTACTTTTATACTAATATACATTATAGTTTTTACTTAATTAAGGCTCAAAGTTCGTCCAGTTTGACTCGAAAAAGTCAAACTGGACGAATACTCTGGGACGGAGAACAACAACAACCCAGTTGAATCCCACTACAGAGCTCTGGGACGGAGGTAGTAACTAATAAAAATAGCGTGTGCTGAGTATACCTTGATTGCATGAATAAGCAAGGTTTTGAAGCAGGAAAATCGGCTGGTAATTGATTTAGTGTCACTTGGAGTTTTAAAGGCAGTCAGTAGCTCCAATGATTGAGCAAAATGTGAACAACGGAACCAATGATGTCTCTGACATGATACCATGAAAATAGTAAGCTATGATATGACACCCCAGTCCTGATAAGAACATATCCCCACCCCAAAAAATATATAAACAGTCACCATACACATACCTCTAGCATCCTACTAAGGATGTTGTATGCCTCAGCCTGGAAAATCTCATCATTCACCTAAAAGGAAAATGTCCAGTAAAGATAGTGATTAGTGATAATGTGATAGTGAAATAAAGTACTTTATCAATAACATCTATTGTCATTTGTCAGAGAAATGAAGTACCTCCAAACATCGTTTAGTAATGCTAAAAAAGGTGCAAATGAGATCCTCATTAACTCCTCCAGTGATACATGATGCGAGCTCTAGCACCATCAGTCTTTATCCCCTCAATAAGGAAATATTCACATAATATTTATATCGTACATCAGAATATAAGGATACAAGTAAAAAATGAAACAAATAGTTAAGAGCTTATTTTCAAAGCATTTTCAAAAGATTAATCAAGGGATCAAGGTTGTTGCGTTGTATCATAAAACATTATATTGTACCACTGATTAGTGTTCCAAATATGTCTAAGCAACAATATAAAAAAGTTGGAAGCTACAAGCCTACAACTGATTTACTTACTTCCACGGGTCTACATTTGACTTCCAGGCCTAGGTGCAACTGCACTACTGAAGCACTACTTATTCGATTATAGGTATGAAAGAAACAATTAACTCAAAGTTATTTGAAGTACAGTGTGCCACAGTGGTGATGATTTTGAAAAAGAAACTAGTGTAAAGAATCAAAAACATTGGAAGTGCTGTTTGCAATAAAACTGACAAGATCTGTGTTGATCTTTAAAGCTTGAACCAGCACATAATAAAATATGAAATCATAAGAAAGGAATATCCCTTAACAAATATTAAAAGAACTTAAGAACCATGAGAAAAATAATAAATATTAAATTTCGCTAGTTAAAATAGGTACATGATTGTTTGTTACCTCTTTGCATCTTCTGGAACAGAGGTAGCATAATCTTCCCTCTTGTTAGGTTTGTTACACTCAGAATCATCTAAATGCTTTTCATATGCATCGAAGCCATTTGCTAACCCAAACTTCTCCAGTAAAGATATAACTATTCTTTTAGTAGTTTCTGAATCAGAGATGGATGCCAAGCATTCAATAGCCTCCTGATATTATTTTTTTGTGTTGCAGGAGGTAAAAGGTATTCAATATAGATGCAGAATGGGGCAACACTCTTATAGATTGAATACTCTTTGAGTTGGATAGAACAATGGAACAAGAATACATTTAAGAAATTAAGTACAACAAAAGGAATTAAGTACAGCAAACTTATAGGTTGGAGTGTATTAGAAGTACAATAATGCCCTTGAAGGTGTATAAATATCAGTAACAAGTGTTTGAAAATAATAAAAAAAAGGCTAACACTTACAGAGATTAAGACAGCTTAACAAAAAAGAATAAAGCCTTTTAATAAATTTGTATTGTGATTAGAGTGGATCCAAGGATGAATGATGATAAATAAGAAACAAATGTGGCATCTCAATCTAGGGTAAAATAAAAATCCGTGCTATGGCACAATCGGCATGTCAAACAATTTGGATACAGCGACTATTGAATAAAATTGTATTCAAGACACCAATGCATGTTAAGTTGTGGTGTGATAATCAAACTGCAATAAACATTGCATCTAATCTAGTCTCCCATAAGAGGACAATATATGCTGATGTCAACTGTCATTTTGTCCTAAACAAGATACAGAAATGCATGAATTCTACTAGATATGTGAAGGCCACAGAACAACCAGAGTATTTATGTACCAAAACACAAAAAGGGGTTAGGGACTTGGTGTTTATTATTTAGGTGTTTAGCTCAATACTAATTATATGTATCAACTCCCTAACTATGTTGAGTAATAATGCACTCAAGAATACAAGTTTTCAATATATTCTTCTTGTTTTTATTCTACATCAGTACATCACAAGTACATTGGTTACACATTCAAAAAATCTAGGTCCAAATGTAAAGAGGGAAACAACTAAAGAAGCGGAGAGGGTAAAATATTTCGCACTAAATTACTAAGAAGAATTGTATTAACTAATTTAATGACAAATTAGTATACATGCCCTATATCTAGCTAATTCTAATGGTTATAGAAGGACGATGTCATATGAGTTATGTAAGTTTTCTAGAAGGTGATGTCAGGGGATTAATGAGTACGTTTAGGATCATAATTTTGAAGAATTTCAGCTGTATATTAAAAAAGGGGAATTTACCTAAATAGGACTAAAACATAATGGCTTTATCAATATAGGCCCATATATTTTTATTTTCCAATGTAGGATCATTGGTCATTATCCATTAGTCATCATTCAAGTAAATGTCCAGCATCACTAGACATTATTCCTCCCACTAGACATTATTAAGTACTCCCTCCGTCCCCCTAAGATCTTCCCGTTTTGACTTTTTGCGGCTTTTAAGGAGAGTTGAAAAAAAGTGAAAGTTTACCATAATACCCTTAATAAAAATGGGTGGAGTGTATTAAATGAGGTAGGTGAGGTGTAATAAATAAAGTAAGTGGGGGTAGTTGTGGTATTTTAATTGTAAAAAAAGGTAATGAGAAGATCTATGGTGGACAAATAAAAAGGGCTAATGGGAAGATCTATGGGGGACGGAGGGAGTACTATCTAGGGAATAAAAAAGTTTAAGTCCTACATTGGAAAATAGCTTATGTTTTAGTCCTATTTAGTGCAAATTTCACTATTAAAAAAGAACATGTTAGGCTCTTTGGGGTGATAGATTATGACTGAAGAAAAATTATTTTGAAATATTTTAGAGAAGTTGGAAATTTGTGGCTTGTGCTTATTTTTCAACAGCTCTTATCTCTAAGCTGTTTTAATGCCTATTTTACTTAACAAAAGCTAATTGTCTGCTGTACCAGAACAAATCTAATTATTTTAAAACCACTTTTCAGCAAAGTCTACCCAAAAACATTTCTGAGTATAGTCAATTATAGAAATAATCAACATTTATAATTAATTGCTGAAAATATAATTTTTCAACCTTCTCAAACACATGCAATGTAGTCCTAGTGGTAAGTTTCTAGCATATTCTACAAATTCAACTGGAAATGCATTAACTAAGCAGCAATAGAAGTTCTATCGTATGAAAAGAAAGTGACGAAAAAGCAAGATATAAATGATGACCTTCAGATATTCATGTGTCTCAGGATATGACTCTGTTGAGACATTCGTTAAAGCCTGAAGCAATCCCTCAGAGCAAGAAGAAATAGCCTTAATATTCTTTTGTGCTGTCTTTCTCGAATATGAGCTCTTCTTTTTTAGATCCATAGCAAAATCATCATTAACAAGGACTCCAATTGATTCAAAGATATCAGACTTTGCAACTAGATTCTTGCTATGATTCACCAGGTTCTGCATGGATAGACAAAGAAACCTGAAGGACATGTGAGTGTTGGGAACAATAACCAATATATATATGCATTGACCAACCTTCAGTGATGTAGCAATTATTTCGAGCATAAAGGAATCCTTCTTGAGATATGAAATCAAAATTTTAGACAAAGCACTGAAATTCTGGCAAATATCTGTTGGACCGTGACAGAAGGTAGGCAACAAGCCCCAGCAGTCATGGGCATAAGCCTGCAGTTCTCTTCGAATTACTGACTTTTTAACTGGCAAATCGCAGAGATCAAATTCCGGATGAATGTGAAAAGATCTTATCGGTGTTGTGTTAATGCATCAGAATGATCAGATAGAACAATGAAAAATTGCAATCCAAAAAACTGGACTTGAAAGAGAATAACAAAGCCTAGATTATAACCATAAAAATGAATGGGTAATTTAAACATTTCAGATACCTTTGAAGGATGCTTGTTGGAAAGATTCTGCAAGCGGCACAATGTGCTTCATAAAGAACTCCAGAGATGAATAAACAGCATATTTGCGTAGAATAGGTATGAGCCAAGTGTTTGTGCAAGAATAATCCTTGGCGTCAAGGGAGATTGGCAGAAGGGCAATTAATTTATCTGGACCCAGAGCAATAGTGGCAGATCCAATACATTCTTGAAGCTGGATATCCCAAAGAAATAAAGAGAAACAAATGTCAAACAAGAACCTAGAGGATCTATATACATTGATGAAATCTACAAAATCTCAATCTCTGAGAAAAAGACTATTGAAACAAGTAAAATTTGTCCATTAGCCATAGCTGATAGCTCTCTCAGTAAGATCCTTAGATACTTGATGAAAGATAAATAATTATTTAGTAGATTCAACTGAAGGTATGATACTGCAGAGCATAGTTTTGAAGAGGAAAGGGAGGTGAGAGGCAGTAATTTAAGGCGAGAGAGGAGGACTAAATGGTGATCGAGGAAAACTTATATCTATGTGTGTGTGTGTGTGTGTGTGTGTATATATGTGTGTGTGTGTGTGTATAAAGGAACTGGTGTGGGGGGTAGGGGTGGGGATGGGCTGGGGGTTTAAGGAGGGGGGTTAGGGGGCTATGAACCATCAATTTTACGAATGGAGCGCCTTAGGTGCTCCGATTGAACTGGAGTCGCCAATTGACAACAATTGGAGTGGTGTCAAACTGTCAATTTAGACATGCTACACACACACACACACACACACACACACACACACATATATATATATACTCCCACCGACCCAAATTAAACTTCTCGTTTGATTTTTCACCGAATATAAAGAAAAGTGGAATTGTCTGGTTGAGATTTATGCAGAGGAAAGATAATTAATGTAGTTCACCCCATCCACTCCTTAAAAGCGGGAAGTTTAGTTTGGGACAACTCAAAAATGAAAGTGAGAAGTTAATTTTGGGACGGAGTATGTGTGTGTGATAGAATTCAAGAGTGGCATGGGAATAAATAAAGGAAAGTCTCCATCAGATTATCAGGATCTGACTCCATAAAATAATAAAGATGAATGAAAATCTTTATCAACATATGAGCAAGAATCTTAAACTCATATAAGTAATAAAGCCAATGAGAATCTCCAATAATAAATATTGAACTACTCTCTGGATAACTTTAAAAAATCATGAGTCTATATTTATAGAAGCCAAATAACTACCAATTCCTAGAATTTAGGCCCACTACCACATTAGCTAGTAACTATTCCTAGGCTTTAGGCTCGCTACCACATTGCTTAGCAACCACTCCTAAAATTTAGGCCCACTAACACATTATTTACTACTCAGTAACTAACATATATAAAATAATGTTTTTGACATGTTAAACAAATGACCATAATTGACTATTATAAATATTATTAACCTAAACTCTATCATTATCCCTTCCTTCAATATTTGCCTTGTCCTCAAGGCAAAATCTAGTCAATAGCTTGTCGATATATCTGGAGGTTTGGGTAGAGGTGGTGGAAAGACAATATAACGAAAAAACTCCAATCAAAGTTGTGGTGCATTAAATAAAAGGGACCTAACATGACATAACACCTTCGAGGATAAATTGATGCATGACACCACTATTCTAAAGGTTCTTGAAGCTTTATCAGTGATGATGTAGAACTTTCCACGATGGTGTTGACACATATATAGGAGTTTTGTAACCCCAGATTGGAGACATTCTCATCAGCACTTGGCATAAGAATCATGGCTCCTTCTATATCCAATTCTATAGGTGAGAATGGAGAGGTTTGATAGTAGCGACCAATATCAATCATTCCTTCATATTGGAACAGCCTCGACATCAATTGTAGTTGCCGATTACCATCCACGAGAGATGTTCTAGTCAAGATTGTGGAGGGGCACTGTGAAGACAACACGATTGCATTCACTATCAGGCAGACAGGCACCGACTTAGAGTTGCAATTGAAATTTCCTTGTCATCACGTTAGGAAATTACTTGTTGGATGGAAGGAATTGAAGCGGTTAGCTGCAATGGTAGGATGTTTTGGCTTACGAAAAAGTGTAACCCTATATATATATATATGTATATATGTATATATGTATATATGTATATGTGTGTGTATATATATATATATAAGGCGTCTCCCCAGCGTTTTGTCTCACTTTTTTTTCTCCCCCGCTAGGGTAATGTAAAGGATAATGGAAGGCAAAAGAGGCTATCACATAGGCTCACATTGTTTTGGCCAAGTTTTTAATTACCACAATGCGAGAGAAGTGATCCCCACAAGCAAGTGATTGGCTTATTTTTGGCGATGACTTGAGGTGCCTTAGGCAAGTGAGGCAAATGCCTTTTTAAATTATGCTGCAGAGTTAAAACATTTGTCGGACTTGCATAATCATAGGTAAGAATCTAAAACATGTGTTAGGTTGATATTCATGTAGGCTGACATTCTACACAATTATTGAACTTTAACAATCTAAAACCTATAACAGGAATAAATAAAGGAAGAGGATAAATAGTTGATAAAGCTTCAATTAATGAGCAGTCCCTTTAACATCTTCCATGCAGATAAAGAAAATACAGGATAACTTTAGATCTTACGTGTTTTGAGACTGAAGTACCCTTGACACCACAAGAAATATTCATCCAATCTGCGAGTTGCAGTAGTATATGTTTCATGAAGTGGTACGATCTCTCGCCTGAAATGTGCATAACAAATAAATAATAAAAAACTTATCCCTGTGATTTTAAAGTACTACACATCTTTTATATTAAGGCATTGTGTACGGACTAGGTTTCATAGAGTTAGGTTCTTCCTAAAACAGTGACTGAATACGCATAATTGTTAGCTTCAAATTATTTCTTTTTTAATGACAAATGATAATCGTTTTCTAAATAGTATACTTTAAGCCAAATGGTAAATGCTTTGTCAATTAACATGTTACTCTACAGAAAATAGGTGTCAAATTACCAAGTTTAAGAAACAAAACAGATACGATCTGTAAAATATATTCATTAGGGATTCCATCAGAACTCCTAAGAATATTGTGAAAGACAGCACAAATAGATTCCATAGCTGCAAATTCAGGATTGTTGGTATTGTTGCAATCTACCGTCTGCTTTTTGGTAGACGGTATTATTTCTTTATCAACATGAAGTTGGATCAACCGTTTCAAGATAAGTGAAGCTGGCAGCGCTGTGGCTTCATATGTGAGAAAATCTGAAGAACAGGGCAAATCAACATGTAAATGATGTGCACAGAATTTAAAAAAAATGCTGCATAGACTGACAATAGAGTGTGAAATGCACATATCCTCAAATCCAAGTAGAAACAAACTCTTATTGATCTTTCACACAAGAGCAGAGCACATATACAATGGAATGAGAGCTATACCTGTTATCGGGCCAATAACTAAAAGGAGATGCCTAGAACATCCATTTACTGCACAATCATGAAGCTTCTTCATAACTTTTTCTGTCAAAGTTGCAGCAACCAGTTTACGGTCGGTAGTGTTCTCCGAGGAAGACATGTATGAAACAAGGAACTTCAAAATATTATCTGAATCTAGAGCTACCAATTTAACTTTTGGAGCGTCTAAAATCACTCCAATATTTTCAAAAACATGTCTTGTCAAATCTGAGTTATGGGAGCTCATCAGCTTCAACAGATGTGTCAAGATTTTCTGACACACTTTTACAGAAAGGTATGGGGCAAGAGTTTTAATCAAGTTTAATGTGTGATACACTTCTTGATGTTCATGTTTTGAAAGGGAATCATGCTTAAATCCATCAGCAGCCTCTGGAAAAGTCATTTCTATTGCCAGAGACAGGTGGCCTTCTATAAAAGAGTGTATTGATTTGCTAGCCTTTTCAATCACAAAAGAAGACTGAACTGACTTCATAACTGTTAAAAGACACTCATGAGCGCATTTCCTCACCTGAAACGGGATGGGCACACAACAGGAAATTAGTTAATACATCACACAGTTAGAAAATCGAAACCCAGTCCCTAAATATTCATACAATTACTTATATCACTACTGACAAACTATGAATTCCCAAGAAATCAAAATTAAAAGTTAAAACTAAATAAATCAAGAAGACTTGTCAAAAAAACATAGGAATAACAATTAGCAAGGCAGCAGCTTGGTGGGTGAAATTCCGAAACCAAAGTATAACAATCCAATTTCCGAACCGTGACAAGTGATAAAGGCACCTTAAGAAAAAAGAATAAACTATGTGTACAGCAACATGTACACCAACATCCATTTTCAAATTACAAAGACAAGACATAGACAATTTTTGTTGTGTAGTTTGAAAAGGGGGTCCGTGTACAACTTGATTTACACCCGGAAAAAAATAATCATTAGCTGAAATAACTGCCGTTAACACACATCTAGGCCATATTTTAATCACACCAAGTTATTTCTAGAGTTCAGTGAAGCCCTCCAAATCAACCCATATGAAAGATAGGCAGATAGCAATAAATTTCGCTCCCCAAGAATTAAAGTTAGTAATGTTGTGCACCAAAAAAACACCAATTTGTTAACATACAAGAAATGAACACATAAATTATTCAGAAGTTCTGGATTTGAGACGACAGAGAAGGACCTTTGGACGCCTATCAATTGAGAACTTCAAAAGGGTCCGCAGACCTAATTTAACCGATTCCCAATCCTCCAGATCACAAAACCCCACCAAGATTCCAAGGCACTTGACCAATGCCCTAACGCTTGAACTCCCCACCACTGCATCATCCCGCGGGAGCTTCTCCAGCACCACTGCCAGCATTTCAAGGGCTTCGGTGGCTTTGAGAGGGGTTATAGCCTTTTCCGGGACCAAAGGAAGAATAATGGACAGAAGCGAGGAAAGCGCAGCTAAGGCGTCGGAATCTAAATCGGAAGAATCAGCGAGAGTGGACACAGTGGCGGCAAAGTATGAAAAAGGAGTAAGAGGAAGAGACTCCGATTGGATGATGGATCGGGCGGCGGCGGCAGTGGCGCATAAGTGTCGGTGCTGAGCCGCCGACGACTTTCCATACCGGTCCAATAGCTGTTGGCATATGTCTGATTTCTCGTTGAAGGAAACCGTTTCAGGTAGTTGTCGCTCATTTTCCATTGCCTTGGAGTTCGACGGCCAGTCTAGCAAGAATTCCCGGCAATGGGTTTAGGCAGGCAGGGTTTATGGGAAACAACTAGGGTTGAGTGCGAGTGGCTGACTATAACAACTAGTGTCCCAAATTAAATTAAAAGATAAATTATTTTATTTATGAATTGATATAAAAGTAAAAGATAAATTTTACATATTAAAAAATCATTTCAAAAGCTATATAAAGTATGAAATGAGAAGAATATTTTATTTTATCGAATAATTAATGAAACATATAAATAAATAAAGATTATCGCAAGGAAAATAAATTGTAATCTATTACTAGACAGAGAGAGTACTCATATTAATTTTCTATAGTTTTATAATTTTTTACGTTTCTTAATTATATTTCTTTATACTTTCTTCAACCTCTTTTAAATTTTTTAATAATGATTCTTAAAGTGTTTTGGTGTTTTTTTCATATTATTCTTATTTAATTATTATTATTGTTGATAGATTTTAATCTAAAAAAATAACAATACTAGTAAGATTGTATGTTAAGATTTATGTATTCAATTGAGCTCCACTTTCTTTTTAGAGAAAGGTTTAATTATACAAGGATATCTATCTTATACTTAAAAGCAGGGGATATTAGACTAATATTTTCCCGCCTAGAAGCTAATGCAATAATAACCATAGATTAGTAGTTGCAAATTGATCAATGGTTCAGAATTCAGCACTAGGAAAAGGCAGGAAATAAAGCACTTAATAGCAAATAATTCCTCCATGTAAGTATTTTATGGGAATTCAAAAAGGATGGAGTCAATATTTATTTAAAAGTAAGGGAATTATTGACCAAATTTTCGTGCTCATGACTATGCATCAATATATGAAAATATTGTGTTACATATGGAATATTGTGTTCATTATAGATGGATATGTTTCTTATATATTTTGTACGCATTACATATAGAAATAATCATTTCGTGACATATTGACAATTTTTTTTATATTTTTTGTATCCTCTAAATATGGAAATATTGAATTTGTTGTATATAGAAATATTTTGTGGGCGTTTAATATAAATATGTTCATTATTATTTATAGAAATAATAATATTATTATTATAGAACAAAAATATAATAGAAATAATAATATTATGAAAATAATATTATTATATAATCATCATCCTATTCTTAAAAGCAGGGGAATTATGCCCCATTCTTTTTCCCGCACAAACACTATCGTTTATGGACCATCGATTTTGATCTACAATTTTAATCTACGGTAATTATAATTAAGCAACATGCAAATATAGTTTTATTTCATTCTATAAAAGGAAAATACCTTATAAGATTCATGTGTAATTTAATGCGGTGTATATAAATAATATGGTTTTATAAAAGGAAATTATTGTGTATATAAATGATACAGTTTTAACTATTTAAAAAAAAGAAATTAACTTTATAAAATCCGTACATACTTAATGCCCGAAAATTGAAGAGGCTTTTTTATGCATGAAAAAACATATTTAACATATTAAGAAAAGAAAGAATTATCAAAAAAAGAAATTATAGAATTTTGGAAGTTATTAGCATGTTAAACGAAAAGACCCCTTCTCGAATCATTTTTTATTTGTCTGATATGTCGAGTAGACCTGGCAAACCGGTCGATCAGGTTGGATTCAGATTTGGTCACCTTGAGTTTGGGTTACTTCGGGTTCAGATAAGTTTGGATTCGGATTGATAACTACATGTTCATGACCCACATCGGGTTCAGGTTGACCCAACGGGTTATGAGTTTCATTAATTTTTTTTGAAATTTTAAATAATTTCTATGACTTAGTGTCAATATTACGAATAAAAAAAATTAAATATGTAGAAATTTTTAAAAAATGTAAGATAATTATGCGACATTATTAAAATTTGTTATGATGGTATAAATCTATACACAAAAAATGAGTAGTAAGCAAAGAAATATAATTATAATCTTATTTTTATAACACTATATTTCATATTAAAACGTATGATTCTAAAAAAATCTTGGATTAGCGGGTCGGTCTGGTCGGGTTCGGGTTCAGTTGGGTTTGACCCATTTTAGCGGGTCATTTCGGGTTCAGTTAACTTCGGGTTCGGTCAGTAAAACCTTTGTTCAAAACCCAGTATTTTCGGGTCGCATCTCGGGGCAAAAACAGGTCGGATCATTTTTTGCCAGGTCTAATGTCGAGTATTGGGCGATGTTAAGAAAAATTAACCTCTTGAAACTTTTTTTCTTTATTATACGCGTAACTAATTTTTTTAGTGTGGCAGAAAATAAAAAAATATTGCAAGAATTCTAAAACCGTGAGTATTTTTGTGCTAAATAATGAATGTTTTAAAATTTTCATCTTATGTATTTTATTTGCACCATGTTAATTGCCTACGCATTAAAGTTATTAATAAAATTCAAGCATTCTTCCTTTTTTAAATCTTTCCTCTTTTTATTTCTATGCTTTAAAAGGTTATGAAATCAGCGTTTCAAGAAAAATAAATCTAACTCCTTTGATTTTTAATAAAAATAATAATATCAAAATTCAATCATTCATTCTTTTTAATACTTTTTTTAAAACACTCGCCATTTTATTATCTTAAACCGTATCTAAGAAGTCACTTGGGCGGGAAAAAGATGGGTACATGTTTCCCCTTCTTTTCGGAATAGAAAGATGTGGTGGAGATAATTTATGTATTACACAATTGAAAAACATTATATTTCATTATATGGAGTACTTATTTACTTTTTTAATAATACCAATATAAATTTATAACGTTAGTACGAACCGTGCAACGCACGGGGTGTGATACTAGTTAGGAGCTAATCGCGAGTGAGGACTAATTGATAAGTTGTCACCATGTTGCGTACCAAAAAAAAAACAGTTCATTTAACAAATGTAACACTCCAACTCGCATAATCTGAATATACTGATCAGCGAATCGGGTTGCTACTAAATTGGTATTTAAATACAACTTATTTTGAAAATGATTTAAAATAGATACTTCAAAATATAATTTCAAACATTAATCGGAATAATTAAAAACAGTGCGAAAACTTAACTCATTATTCAATACAAAACTTGGGATTCAACCCCATAAAAGCGGTGAGTTTTTAGAATAACAAGTAATAATTCAAACCTTCAAATCCCATCGATGCACATCTCTTTGACCTCATCGCCCTCCGGGGTTGGTTTCAGTTCACCCTGATCTTGATTACCTGTGTGCAGCAAAAGAACAAACGTTACACGCTCAGCATTGAAGCTAAGTGAGAAAATATCTAATATTCAATTATACATATAAACGACCTCGCTGGTTCATAACATCACATGATATCATGCATGTAAGTACATCACGAATATCAACACAACAATGCAATTAGTAAACACTATAAACAATACAAGATATTATGCTCTCATTACTTTAGTCATCTAACTTAGATACTTGGCTCATAACCTATTCTAGGTTAAAGCTTATATTAATTCTGACTTGCTTATTGGAGTCATGACCTTCCCCTTTTGAATGAAGATCAAGCTCAACAGACTCGGGAATTCCTTGTGGGTGGGTGAGATTCATGTCCCCTTCAGAACAACAGTTTATAGATCCTTGTGCGCACATTTGTACCCGAATAACCATTAGACCCAACAGGTACGACATGCTCTAACTGTAACACCCCGGCCCCCACCCTGGCCGTAAGTGTTCGCTCATAGAATTGTAGACTGTCCTCACAAACCAACACAAGTCTTTCCCGCACACTTTGTCCTCACTCGTGCGCGCCCAAGGAAAACTTCCCAGGGGGTCACCCATCCTAGAATTGCTCCAGGTCAAGCACGCTTAACCTTGGAGTTTCTAGGTGATGAGCTCTCGAAAAGAAGATGCACCTTGTTGGTATGAGTAGTACTATCAATCCTTTTTGAGCTCTTCCCATTCCCATCTTGATACGAGGTATTACACTAACCTTTCTATACTAATGGCATATCTTGCCTCTATTCCATTCAGGTCAAATCCTAGAATTCATCTAGAGATATATAAAACTTCAACCATTACATTACATTCACAATTGCATAACATTCATAATAGGCATAATCATATCCAACATAACCAAACATGACCCACCATTGGCCTAGCGATGGGTGTAAACACTCATGTTTACCGTCATGCAACATAAAAAGTCTCAGAATAAATCCTCGACACGGAAACAAGTTCAGGAATAACACAATGGTATTAGACGGTACCTAGTCTGGTACCTGAGTACCGGTACGGTATCTGGTACCGTCCAGGCGGTAGATGGTCTGTGGCAGTAGGCAGCTACCGTTCCAGCGATAGGGTCTATCGTACGTCCGGTACCTAAGTGCTGAACGATCATAGGTTCTGGCAAAGCAAAATAGCTCGTGAGGGTATTGGGGTACTGGTAGGCCGGTACCTCGTTACCATGTGACGCGATAACCCCATGTTTTGCGCCGGTTTGATTTTATAACTCAAAAAATTCAATATGAATATGTTCATAACTCAATTTCTAACTATATCCAATCTTACTATAAATAATTCATTACTACCCTTACGTTCAAACCAACAGAAATTATCAATAATCCAAAAGAAACTATCATAAGTAGGTTTTTAGTAAATCAATCATAATGATTCTACGAACTTAAGATTCAAATATATAGATATAACATAGTGTTAGATGTCCACGTACTCACCTCGAATTTGACGAACGACTATGAAGAACAAACCTAATAAGTGGCGGTGATGGCACGACTTCTCTTCTTCTTCTTCTTCTCCTTCCTTCTCTACTTTTTCTTCTTCAGCTTTATCTCTGCTGCTCCGTTTCATGTTTCCGATCGGCAAGAGGCCAGGAGACGAGAGAGTTATGTAAATATGGGGTGTGTGACGTGGGTTTAGGTGCACGGTGTATATTTATGGTATAGGGTTTTGGGCTCTGTAATTAAATAACGTACCTCGATTAAAATATATTCTTCGAGCGAACTTGCGCCGAATTCAAACCTGTTTCCACCATTGGATTCATCTTGTCGAACCCTACACAACAATGTAATTTTTAAATTTTATTAACGAATATTTTAAATAAACTCTGGGTCCGTTTCAATAATTAAATAATTATTCTTAATTAATTAAATCTTATAGATCGGGTTTCAGGGCGTTACAATAGGTACAAGAATACAATCATTAATCTCAAAAATGTGTGTGCACCTGTCACTCTATTCCAGTACTTCTTCATCATTACTTCCTTGGAAACCCAATTTGGCTCTATATAACATCGCGTCCCTCCCAATTATTTATACTTCTACTGTAACACCCCAAACCGCATAACTCGAATACATGGGTTAGCAAATCAGATTGCTACTAATCTGGCATCCCAATGCAAAATATTTTCAAAACAATTTAAAACATTCAAACAGTTCTCATAATAAAATCCATCGTCGGAGTAAAATCCAAATTAATTTATTTTAACAAACACAACTTGGGACTCATGACCGAAATGTAATAAACTATTTAGAAATAAATACTGATTCCAAATCATCAATTAGATCAGCCCACATATCTTCTTCCTCATTTCCCTTCGGGATCGGCTTTAGGTTCATCATGTCCTTGATTACCTACGTGTAGCAAACAAATAAAATACACGCTCAATAATGACGCCGAGTGAGAAATATCTAACGTCAAAGTAAACAAATAAGCGAATCCACAATTCATAATAGTCATATGACATCATGGAATCAACATATACATCACACAACAAGTAATCACACAATTTACCTCGCACCTGCCCATTTTCATTTTCAACAAAGTTGTGGATTCTTTGAGGTTGGTGGATCACCAGGAACCTGTTTCAATAACCTGTCCTAAACTAAAGACTACTACCTTATTTTGGGGTCATGATTTTTCCCAACTAGATCAGTGGGTAATGCTCAACCAACAAAGGTGTTCTCCGTTGGATGGGTAGAATCCCCACCTGATGAATCACTAGGTAGTTCAAGGATACCTGTACGTATAATTTTACACGGTTAGCTATTGGGCCCAGCAGAGACCACATGGCTTAGACTCATACTTTCCTAATATACATGTGTATATCAACCCGTTATTGCTGTAGGATTGAAGGTTGGTTCAACCCAAGATATTCACAATTCATAAAGTGTTGGATTAACACATACAAACACATAACGGCCTAGCGTCGGATGCAAACATTCACACACTTACTGCATACAACATACATGTCTCAATGTACATACACAATACAAGGAAATGGGCTACTTAAATAATCGAGACCTGTCAGATGGTAGTGGTACTTGCGTACCGTCACATGGTAGCTGGCTACCGTCGGACGGCAGTCACCTACCGCGACTATCACCCGTTTCGCAGTACTGGCAATACTACACAACCTATGATGGTAGCATGGTACCGCCTGGCACTACCAACCTACATTCTGTAGCGACAGGTCCTGATGCAATCTGTTCAGTTCGGAAATCAAACCATACAAACTCCAAAGTTCTCAATTTAGCATCCAAAAGCAGAGGCATGCACATATTCATTAACACACGAAAATACAACATCAAATATATGCCTAAATCATGCATTCTACCCATTATTTGGTTCATAATAAACCCAAATAAAAATCCCAAATTCAACAACTATATAGGTTTTCATGCAATTCAATCATACAACGAATACAAACGAACATTTCAAACCTAATTAAATACTCTAATGTTAGGGTTCCACATACTCACCTTGAAACAACGAATACTCAACGGGGACGATATGATGAGCACGGTAGAAAGCTAAACCTCCTTCCTCTTCTTCTTCTTCTTCTTCTTCTTCTTCTTCTTCTTCTTCTTCTTCTTCTTCTTCTTCTTCTTCTTCTGCTTCTCTTGATTAGGGGTGTTAAAAAATATCCGATTCAAAATATCCGCCCATGATCCGAGCTGATCCGATCCGAAAAATGGATATCCGATCTGATATTTTAGCTTTTGAATATTTCGGATCGGATATGGAATGAAATATTAAGATTTTGGATATCCGTGGATATCCAAAGTTTATATTTAAAAAAATTAATATAAAAATAAAGCTTAGACAACTTAAGCCCAATTCATTTTCATCATCATAAACATTTGAATCTAAGTGGGGTGTATTCAATTTAGATTTTAAATGATTTTGATATATTTTTTAGAATCCATAGATTTTGTAAGTTCATTGGATTGTTTAAAGTTTACGCAGAGTTAATTAGATTCTAATGTATTCTATCAAAGGATTTTATAGGATTTACATTTTTCTTTTCTTTTTTTTCTTCTTTTCTTCTTTTCTTTTTCTTTTTCTTTTCTTTTTTCTCCTCCTTCCCCAGGAACCCTAGCCGTGTTGCTTCTTCCATCCCATTTCCTTCTTTCTATGTTTTCTTTCCTTTTTTCTTTTTCTTTTCCTTTTCTTTTCTTTTTTCTCCTCCGTCTTCCTCCCGGCTTTCTTTCGGCAAACAAGACGACTTCCTCGGCGATAGGACGACCTCCTCGGCGACGATGGCGGCCTCCTCGGCGACGATGGCGACCTCCTCGGCGATAGGATTGCAGCGGCCAACAGCACCCCGGCAGTAGAGCAGCGTGCAGAGCCGAGGAAGGCCTTCCGTCGGGGTTCCGAGCTCCGGCGACTTGGCAGAAGAACAAGCAGGGACGAGAGAAGATGAAGAACGAGAATAGGAGTAGGCAAAATCTCAGGTCTTTTGATTGGATTTGGAAATTGGGTTTGTATTTATACCCAAGGCATGAAAATCCATCAAAATCCACAATTTTTAAAATCTTTAAAAATCCATCAATTTTTTAATACCATCATACTTAGAAAGATTTTTTAAAGTTTGAATTGAATACACTCAGATTTTAAATGACTTTTTAAATTCTGAATTGAATACCTACGGATAAGATTAATTGAAGTTCTTTGCTTTAGTCTTTTTGTCTATGTTTTATTTGTCAATTATGTTGATATTTTGTTCATACATTTATAAAATTATGACTTATGATAACACTATCAAGGTAACTATGACATTTAAAATAGAGTTGACTTCAAATTCAAGTCTAATTTATGACCTCTACTTTTTTAACAAATAAAAAATCATTATAAATACTTTTTTAGAATTATTCGAAAAAATAAAAATTAAAACAAATAAATAAAAAATTTTTGGATGTTCCATTGATCTGATCCAAAATTTCGGATATCCGAAATTCAGGCATCCAGTAATTTTCGAATCGGACATGGAATAGATATTTACTGATCTGAAAATTTCAGATATCCGAAAAAACGGATCGGGTCAATTCGGATGTATCCGAATGAACACCCCTACTCTAGATCTTTTCCTCGACTCGACCCTTCTGCTCGTGATCGCATGAAGAAACAGAGGCGTAAAAAGGGTGAGACGTGCATGTGTTGGAGTACTTAAATAGCTTAGGGTGTCATGCTCTGTAATTAAATAACATACCTCACTAAAAATATACTTTTGGGCGAACTTGCTCCAAATTCAGATCCATTTGCACCTTTGGATCCTACTCGCCGAACCCTACACAACGGTATAATTTTCATAATTAATCGACTAATATTTCTAATTAACTCTAGGTCCGTCTCAAAAATTAATTAATTATTCTTTAATTAATTAATTTCGATAGGTCAGGTTTTGGAGCATTACATTTCTCTCTTCCTTAAAAGAATTTCGTCCTCGAAATTACGTGAGTCATTGGTCGCCGAATAAATGAGGATATTGGGTTTCCATGGACTCCTCGGTCTCCCATTGACTTTTAAAATTCAAAAAAATCCATCAAAATCCAGATTGAATACACCCCCTAAGCTTTCCAAATTATAGCTTCTCCCTTGGAGATGTTCAACAATAAAAAATATTTCATACGAATAGCATGTTTCAAGGTGGACTATGTTCGACATCAATTATACAAAAAATTATACCAAGAGTAATTTATAGTATTGTTATAAAAATGACTTCATTAAATTTATCTTGTTGAAAACATTCAAAATTTTATTTCAATGTAATAATATCTAATATAAATCGAGAGCAATCTATAATTAAAAGTCATCCAGTTTGACTCGAAAAGGTCAAACTAGACGGATACATTAGAACAGGGAGAGTAATTTCCAGTAAAAAGGTGTTCAATGCCAGACAGGGCCTAAGACTGGTTAACGCGGAGTTTGTATTTCGGACATTAAAGCTAATCGCATACTGCTAATCTAATCAAACCAAAGACTTTTCAGATGCTGCTCCAAGTAAAATCTTCTTATCATCATGGGCCAGCATTGGGAGACCTACAACAGCTATAATGTCCAGCAGGTTCTATAGGACTCGACCGGATGGGGAGGCGATTGGAATCTGGCAAAAGAACTGTCTCAGTGATATGCAGATAGAGCAAGTGAAAGCCAGTGTGGCTTTAAATTCTGGTTCCTAAAAGAGATCAACTTTCTTCTTGAGTTGATCCTGTTTCCATTTAGGCAACTTATAGAAGGCTTCCTTTGGCATTCCAAGAATTGCCTCAAATTCTTCATCGGACAGATAACCCTGAAAATCGACAGCAACACAAGAGTAGGAAACGATGAAGACAAATAATTTTTGTGGAAATATGGAAGGCAAGCAGGCAGATATGAGTATAGAGCAACAAACTTCTCTTCGTTTAAAGTCAATCTCCATGATGGGATTTTCAGATTTGGCCTTCAGCTGTTCATAACTGAATATGGGTAGATTACTTTCACTGTCATTGCCATCCTCCTGTTCTTCATCCTCTTCATTAGTCTCAACAGTAGATTCATCTGCATCTGATTCCTTAACTTCAGAATCTTCTATGTCAGCAGAAATGTTTTCATTTTCTGTTCCAGCTGCAAAACATTTGCAAGCATGTCATAACCTCATCTCCTACCTCATAAAAATTTTAAAAATAAATAAAAGAACTAAAGAAAGAAAAAGACAGAAGCAGCAGAAAGTAGTTTTTGGTAATGTTTAATGCTTTGTGGTTTCCGTTCTTAAAAACTTTGTTTTTGTTTTATTTCCATTTTGTAGAAAAATTTAACCATGCTTGTTAGATGACTTAGATCTGATTGGATATTTGAATAAATGGTTTTATACTATTTATCACGGAAATATATGATGTATGGAGTATATAAAAAGATACTCCCTCTGTCCCGAACTAGATTACAATCTTTTTTTCTCTTCTCGGTAATTTTTTTATTTGTGTGTTTTCATTGAGTATTTGATAAAATAAAATATTCTCGTCACTTCTTGTTTTGTAGAATTTTTGACGTATTTTTTTATATGTAATTTTTATTTCTTATTGATGTACCAATTTATAAATAAAATGATTTCAAAAGGCGAGAGAATTTGCCTCGTAACTCCCAATTTGTAATCAAATCAGGGACGGAGGGAGTATAAAACTTTTGTAGGCAGCAATGTGAAAATCAGAAACATACTTTCTAAAACAATAAAAACAAGAAAAATCTTAATTCCAATACTTAAGAAAATTCTGTTTTAATGAACTTGTATTTATGTACACTCCCTCCGTCCAATAATAAAGTAGTTTTTAAATATGTAATTTTCTCTTTTCATGTAGTTTTTTTAAATAAAGTAGTTCTTAATTCCAATACTTGAGAAAATTCTCTTTTCATGTAGTTTTTAAATATGTATTTTTTATTTTTAGTTCCATACCATTTTTCATATAAAATGATTTGGAAATAACTTCATTCAAACATCGTAATGTGCAACGAGAACTTTATTTATAAATGGAGGGAGTACATCGCTATCACACACATTTCCTTGTTTCTATTTTCAGAAAAGTGAAAATGAAAAAAATGTTAAAACATAGCTCAATATTGTTATAAAATGTGTGTTTATGTTTAATCATGTAACTATATCAACTCCTATGACTGACATCATCATTAATCATTAAGATAAAAGCCATCAACATAAAAAAGATGTAGGCCTTACCAGTAGGACTTGATTCTGCTGATGGACTTTTGATTGATATCTGCTTATTTTCAGCTGTAAGAACGGTAGATAAAGCAGCTATAGCAGCTGCCCTTTGTGATCCTTGAGTTACCCCTACTGGTCTTGGTGAAGAAGGTTTAGATGGAGAAGATGATGATGAACTAAATGCAGAGTTCAAAGCAGCTAAGGCTGAAGCCCTTTGTGTTGGCCCATCATGTTCAGACTTTTCCTGATTATGGAATCGAATTCAGAATTGAAAGATAAGAAATCACCCAAAATAGGAGCAAAACATATACTTTATCCCCAAAATAAGAGTGACATGTTTTATCTGCAAAATAGAACTATTGCACTATGACAATGTGTCAGTGTATATTTGGGATAAAAACATGAAGACAATGTTTTATATGTTGGCCTTATTTGGGATAAAAACATGAAGATCCTATTTTAGTTCTTTCCTTATGTTTCTTACTCCTATTTTTACCTTTCTCCCTTGAAAAAATTAATGCCAGGGTAAGAAAAATTAATGTCAGGGTATATATATATATATATATATATATATATATATGTATGTATGTATGTATGTATGTATGTATGTATATATGTGTGTGTATATATATATATATATATATATATATAGACACACACACACATATTTATTTATTTATATAGGCGTGCCAAGTAAACATGAGAAGTAGATTCCGGACACAGGAAGTATGTGTACGCAGAACTTACCCCTAAGTTGAAAAATAGATGTCTCCTACCCCCCTCACAAACCCTCAACCTTTACCCAACCTCTTCTGACCTCTAGTCCTCCCAATTGCACCGTTTAAGTTTTTTTTTATTTTCTGAGTCAAAATTTGACCCAAATTATCAACCAAACCTAGGAGGTGCAATTATGGGGCTAGGGAGTCGAACGTGACGGATAGAGGATGTGGTTTATGAGGGGGTTAAGGGTAAAAACCATCAAATTTATACAGTGAGATGGGGGGCTAGGGGTCGGAAGTGGGCGGGTAGGTATTTATAAAAGGAGTTAGGGGGGATAGGAACAATCAATTTGAAGGCCAGAATAGTGGGTACGCACGATTTAAGGTGGTACTCACCTAAAGGGCGGTTCTCATATGAATACACACATACACGCATACACACATACATATATATAATATANCCTTAATCACCAATTTGGCAGATTTTAATTAGTGGTGAGAGAGGAGGGGGTGATATTTACTTGATTTCACTTCAAATAGACACCGTACCATTCCAGGTGTCAAAACCACAGTCATTGAAGCATAGCATAAAGATATTGGTGACAAAGTAAAACAATAACAACTCTCCTACATATCCCATTATAGAAAAAAAGAGATATATTTGCTCTCTTGATATATCCCATTAAGAAACTAAGCGTAAACATTAGAAAGGGCGGAGATAGGATGTTGATAGTCTAGCTCCTATCGTCCTATAGCACATCGCTTGCATAGCAAAAAGTGGTTGAAAAATAAATGTTCAAGCACTTCATTCCCTTAACATCGTAGTAAACTACACAGGACATTGAAAGAAAACAAGGTCAAACAATTACCCCTGCAGCATGGCCTGAGCCGAGTAGTAGCATAACCTTCTTCTGGAATGAGTTTCCATGTGTCTGGTTACAACAAAATATAAAACTCAGCATTTGATAAAAAATGGATCATTATATGCTCCCTCCATCCCACAAAAAGTGGCACGGTCTGCTACACACTTTGACCACAAATTATATATTGTTTTGAATAAATAAATGTTATAAAAATTTGTTGCTACCATTTTGAGGTGTTTGTAAGACAATCTATTCAATCAAGATGAAAATCAGCATACAAGTGCCAGTTTGTTGTTTTAAAGTTTACATACTCCCTCCATCCCATAAAAAGCTTCCGCATTTTCTTTTTAGTCTGTCCAAAAAAGGTTCCACTTTCCACATTTGAAAAAGTTTGTGGTCCATATAAAATACTCCTCTACACACTTTTTCAACCACAAATATCATTTTTCTTAATCTATGTGCCATGTCAAAAATAGAACCTTTTTACGGGGCGGAGAGAGTAATTGACACAAAGATAATAGTAGAAAAGTTTAAATCCAGTTCCCATTAAATGAAATACTCCCTCCATCCGGATTTAGTTGTCCACTTTCTGAAAAACCTCATTCTTATGAAATGAGTGTGAAATGTCAAATACGTTTCGCATGCATTCATGTCATTGTCAACAATGCTCATATCTTATCATTAAGACACTTCAGACAATTCATCATAATTTCTTTATAGAATATCGCAAGTGGACAACTAATGCTGGATAAATGAAAACAAGAAAGTGGACAAGTAACTCCGAGCGGAGGGAGTACATTGTTTTGCCTGATATTTTGATCAATTACGGCTCAAAATGCATTTCCTTGCACTCCTTAAATAATTCAATTTTAACATTAGCATAGTTGAATCCCCATAAAATGAGTATATTACACTTATTCTTCAAAATTCAAATAAGAAAGAAACAAATTAGCAACAAAAATGAGATGTAGAATTAAATATACAACAATTTCCCTCAGGATTAAATACTTAAATACCTAAAATAGGAGGACACTAGCATAGTAGCTAAATACGAGTAGTTCAACTCTTTTTATACCTAAATAAGAGTAAACAATGACAATGACATAATTGACACATTTAGACATAGACAAAGGGGAGCTCCGCCAGAAGCTGCCACATGCGGTGGTTGTTGCCACCTCCGGTTGCATTCCACAGATTGCGGTGAAGGTGTTAGCACTGACATAACACAACACCTTCCATCAACACTGACAAATTATTGTCATTGTTGACATTTTAACTCGTATTTAGATATAAAAAGAGTTGAACTCCTATTTAGCTACTATGTCCATGTTTTGCTCCTATTTAGGAGCATTAATTTTATTTCCCTCGCTCAATGCTTCTATTCATAATTCATGTCTTTCATAATGGTTCCTAAATAACATGTACATTTCAAAATCTTATTTAACAGGTCATTTGAAGATTTAGATTACTCCACTACCCTTAGGGGCACAAATCATTAACTATTTAATTGTGTGCACAAGTTTTCTCAATACTAATTCAAGAATACACCAAAGTGCTATGCATTATACATTCGGAGACCAATAAACATAACACCAAAATAAGAAAGAGATTTTGTAACGTACAATAGCCTTTGCGGGATCCCAAGAAAAAAATGCAGTGAAGAAGCATGGTTCATTTCCTTCTGTGACTTTATACAATGGAACACTAGGAGATAATCCTTCCAAAGATGAGGCCATCTCTATGTATTTCTGCAATGAAAACCAAAGGTCAGCAAAACCAATACCAAATACCTACTCTCCATCATAAGGAACATCCGAAAATCATTGGTTACCTGCCCAACTTCAAAAGCAGTTTGCTTCTCGGTGAGGTCAGTCAATTGACCAACCCAAATAAATACTTCAGCATGTGTGTCCAGTATCAAGACATCCTCAGTTAACAGATCATCTTGAGAAAAGTTGTACACTTCCTTGACCTAGCATAGGATAGAAGGGGTTTTGGAATTTAGGGAAGAGGTAAGTTACAGAGCCATTAATAGATGGAAATACTTCAAGCATTTTAAGCCTAAGTTTTAGAACATACCTCAAATTTGCCTGGAGATTCATATGACAGCAAAAAGTTAAGAAAAACAATTTCAGTGGAAACCCATATTTGAATGAAAATACAACAGAAAACTAAATACACGACGAGCATATCAAAACACACCTTTTTTGATGGAATATGTGAACATATGGGGGTCATGGATAATAACTTCTAAAGGTGCTTTCTTGCTGGTATAATTTTCTTTACCACCAAGGGCAGACCAGAAAGCAGAGATTTCAGCACCTTCTTTTGTGTGTTTCACAGATACTCCTGGCTGAGTTTTTTTGTTTTTTTAAAGGAAAGTGCAGCCATTTAATTAGACATGCAGCGTAAGGAACTACAAAATATCACTCAATAATATAGAAGCAAAATAAATTTAGACGGCTACCATGCATCAAGCCTTTCAGGAGTTAGTTTTCCTTATCTATATGAGTGGTAATGGGGTCATTTACTGAGTTACTTACACCTAGGAGGAAGGCAAAAAAGAATGGAGAAACCTTAGCAACGAACTTTTTTATAAGAATGCTTACCTTCAAGAAATCAGCTATCTTTGCAGCTAACTGTTGTTGCTCATAGGTACTGTGCACTCCATGCCAGATGAACATTGAGCCAGATTGAAGAAGAAAGCATTCATTAGAGTTCAGTGATGTTGCCGCCTGAGGAAAAAAACTAATAATTGATACATATTTCAAATGTATGTGAAACTATTCAAAGTAGTTACAAAAAACCCTATGAAAAGTTGTAGGAAAAAACACATATTTTCTTCACTGAGAACATTTGGTCATTTACAAAATGCGGGATCAATTTCTCTGAATAATAAGCTAAGAATAATACAAGCATTAAAAAAGACCAGCATTTAGAATGTGATAATTCAACTCTGGAGAAGATTGATCTAGGAGACAGATGAACTATCCATTAACCATTCTTTTGGCACACAAACAAAATAAATTTTAGAAGAAAGCTTCCCTTGCTTCTTACTTTCTATTCCCTCCGTCCACAAATAAAGTTCTCACTTTCGTTTTTCGTCCGTCCAAAAATAATCTTCCCATTTCTATTTTTGGAAAGTCTTCTATACCAAAAAGTCTAAATTACCCTCCCCACCCACTCCCTATCTTTTCTTTTTCTTTTTCCTTCCCCAGCCGTCACTTTTTCTTTCTTCTCCTTTCTCTCTTCTTCTTCTTCTCTCTTTTCTTATCAGCGAGGCAGTGGCGGTGGTCGGAGGTGATAGGGCAGTCTGATCTTCTCATCATCATCTTCTTCTTCTTCTTCAATTCCCATGGTCCAACGCCCAATCAATCTTCAACTCTTCTTCTTTCTTTTCTTCTTTCTTGTCCATCTAGGTCAGATCTGAGAATTTCGATGGCGGAGTACAGGCGCCGATTGATGATGCCGTGTTGGATCGGAGGGTGGGAGCCCCAAGTTTCTTCCTTCTTCGTCTTTTTTTTAAATTGAAGGAGCAGGCAAAGGTGACGGCGAGCAGTGAGGCGGCGGTCGGAGTTGACGTGGTAGACCATCAAGGCGGCCGTCGGTGATAGTGGCAGAGCAGCGAGGAGGTTCTGACTTGCTGGGAGGGGCATCCGATTGCACAGAGAGAAAAAAATGGGTGGATAAGGAAAGAAGAGAAGGGATGAGAGATGGAGGGGTATTTTAGGAAAGTCAAAGTAAATTTCAAGTTTTATTAAACTCCGTGCCAAGTCAAAGTGAGAACTTTAATCTTGGACGTAGGGAGTATGTTGTTTTGGTCAGTAAACATAGCAATGCATCAAGGATCTAACAGAAATATCCTCTTTGTTTCTTAGAGGAATATGGTTGTACATCTAGACCTCCACCCCCCCCCACCCCTCCCCCACCCACCCACATAGCTGGTATTATACTAGATTTGCTGTTGTAGCAGCAATAGTCCAGGCAAGTGCACAGATTCAGATGACGGGTGAAAATTTGAAGTTTTGAAGAGACAAGTTGCTGCTCCTGAAAGCATGATCAGGATTCTGTACAGGAAAGAATCATATGTTCCCTTCCTCATTTAGCTTAGCTTTGCAATGTTTGCAGGTACTCCTCGCCCTTATCCCCCCTAATTGTAATCACCATTAGCAATATTGCTCGCCTTCACGGAAACCACTTATCTAATCCTACCGGCAGAGGCAAGGTTTGTGTAAATCTTACCTTCTACATACGCTACTCCTTCCAACATCCAAGTGAGATATATTAGGCATGTGTGGTTTGGTTTTATTAAAAATATTAGTTATTACTCAGCATCCTTGATCTATAGAAGTGGGTTAGAAAAATCTTGAAAGGAATCAAGAATCATGAGTCGTGGCTGCCTAAAAAACAATCATTAACCCTATTTAATATTTATAGCAACTACAACATAAAACATCTCAAGGGTTGAAAGCATACCAGATCAACTTGAACTGCTTTATTATTATGGACTGATGTTCCAGATATCCGGACAAGAGCAACTGAATCAGCAATATAAGTTTCATCATTTATATTTTTGTCAACGATATAATTCTTGTATCCAGAACTTAATCCACCCTGATAAAATATTGCAAAGTGTTGGTTATGTAATGTGAGTGTAGCCCTCAAATGAGATGACGTCTGTGTAACGTACCTTAAGGACCACCATCGGCTGGAAGATTGCAACAAACTGGGGTGGCTCTTTCCCTTGAAATATCCGACCCTGAAGGATATATGTGTTATACCCAGAAACCTGATTTGCGAAGCACATAAATAGAAGTCATGGGCATGCATACCATAACAGGCCTCCCCTTCAGTGAATTGAACATTTTGGTAACCAATTCAGCTGCCATCATCCGGTCCTCCTAGATTCATTAGACTAACTTTTAAGAAATAAAGGCTTCTTCGAGATTGTTTATATAAAAAACTAGCACAAATCCAGTAAACTAAAACAATTTATACTTTAAAAGTAAAGTCAGATATAGATATTCTGAACATTGACATAAATAAAAGATGAAATGACACTGCGTACCATAAACTCAAAACAAATTATAAAATTATAATTACGAAGAACCTTTCCTTAAAATAGAAAAGTGTGGGTTAAAAATTAGCTATCTATCTAAATCCTTATAATCATTTTTCAGGATGCATTACCTCAATACTGTCTTTTCCGATCCACCAGCAGAGGTAATAATCTTCCTTCTTATCATGATGAGAGTGGTAGGAGTATAGAACTACATAGCAATCTCCACTGTAAAATTTACCAACATCTTGTTTGGGAACTGAAGTCTTTGCATTCTCATTGATGCACCACACCTGATAAAGGATGCTCTTAGCATCAAACTAAGAATGAACAAGCAGTATGAAAGAAAAGAAGTTAACTCCACCTCTAGTTTTCCACCTCCATCAAGCAGAGGAGGGGCTTCCTCCTTTGCAGGGGCACTTTTGATTGAAGCTTTGATGCCACCACCTTGTTGCTTCAGAAAAGCTACAAGGATGAAGAACGAATTAACTCTTTTTTATCCTTAAGTAAAATTCAACTAAAAAGTATTAGGCACATAATTTACCAGCAACTTTTCCTCTTCCTTCCTCAGGTTCAGATGCTGATCCAGACGACCACGAATCAAATTCAATCTTAAAAGAATGTGTCTCATGACCTTGGATGAGCTGTGTGATTTTTACTGATTTGGGCCTGTTTTGACTGACAAAGAATGCCTAAGGATAGTTTTTACATAGAAGTTAGATATTCCATCAGACATCAGATTAACATTCAGATATGAGGACTATCTTTCAACCTCTGCAGTTTGTGTGGCAGCTTTCCTCTCATCAAGTTGGGTAACACGACCGACCCAAACAAAAATCTCAACACCACAATCCAATAAGTAGCACTTGGTGCTTTCCAAAATGGATTTGGAAAGGCCACCATCTACAGGACTGAGTTGACCATTAGAAATGCTGCAGAAAAAGAAGATGTCATATCATATCGATCAGTTATATCATAACCTAAATAAACATCAACCACTTGACAATCCCTGCGAGAATCATTAAGATCAAATTTGAGCAAAAACACCAAAGTGACCAAACAAATAAATCAGATAACAGAGACACACATCTATAGCAAAAAATATAAAACTGAATTATTCTCATGAAAGGAGACTGTCATTCAAATGCGGCATGCTTGTTTGACTTCAACTTAGGTATCAAGTTCACAGATATTTCTCCGTCAATGAGTAATACACAAAAAAATGATGCACCAGAAAAAAAGATCAATTACTAGACTGCTGTTGTTAGCAAATAGGGCTCATTATGGTTGGATGAGCTGAGGTTATGAACAATTTGGCTGAAAAGTGAACATGTTTATTGGGCAAAAAGATCTGAAACAACTCATTATAATCCCAGCTCTATTGGGGTCTGGGGGTCAAGATGTACGCAGTCTTACCCCTGTAGAAAACAGAGATGCTATTTCCGTTATACCCCGCAGAAAGTAAGAAGGGAAGTTTAATGTTCCATTTTGATTTAGTTTATCAAAATGATGGGCCGGAAACTAAAACCTTGTCAATGATGGCAGAAATCTAGTTTATTTAATTTAAATGAGTAAGAGAAAAAAACATCCCTACTACTTTTTTAAAAGGGAAAATGATGTTTTTGTCACTCAGTAGTTCTGATTCTGCAGTGCAGTTCCCCGTTGTCAATCTAGTGCAACTCAGTCCCTCAATTACTTGAAAAATAGTCAATTGAGTCCCCTGCTTCCTAATAATTGAGTAAACCATTGAAGGGCTAGATTGCACCAAATTGAGGACGGAGGCCTACATTGCAGAACCGGATCAACTGAGGGGCCATAAGAACGGGTTTTATCGCTTCATTCAACTAATGCACTCAAATAAGTTTGTGTTTAATTAACAAAATCTGGCTAAAAACCAAATGATTGGACTACAGACTACAGGGTGGGCTATTAATTTATTTCAATATCCAAAATAGAGAAAAAGAAAGAATAAAGCAATGAATGGGACTAGCCATTACCAATATACTTCACATTTGTTAAATTCAGCCTACAATCTATCCGTTAAACATTGCAATTAAGCTCACAAGATTGAAAAGAATGCTAAAAGATTGAGCCCAAACATGATATTCGGAAAAAAATTAAGTTTAACCTCAAACAAAATTTGAAGCTTCACCCATTTAAAGGTTAAACTAATGATTAGTGTTTGAGAGATCTCGTATGCCAAGCTTGATAAAGTTCACTTGGAGATCTAAATTGATAAAAGAGAGGAAGTTATTGAAGTAAAATGATACCAGAAGAGTTTAGGAGGAGTTTTTTCTGGAATGATATCATCTTCACCAGCAATGTTCCGGCAAATTGGAGCAAACCCACCAAAAACCTCCCAGAATTCACCAGAATCAGGTTCAGCTTGATTTCCATCTTCTGGTAAGCAGAATAATAATTCTCAGAAAACAATTATAGAAATCTATGGCCAAGGTTTCAAATATGATATCATCACCACATAAATTGCAGCTATGTTGAGGTCGGTGACATGAAATTTAAAATGTCAATATTGTATTATACATAGAATACTTGCCTACGATAGCAACCATACACATTCCATTGTGATGAGTGTCCTTTAAAAACTGGACTACTTCTAATGCTTTTGCCCTCTCCTGAATGTTGGAGTTCACACCATTGAACTGGTATATCTTATCTTTAGTATCCAGAATGAAGATATCATCATGATTTAGTGAGGAACGAGAGAATGGGACCTGCTACCAAGCTGAATGAGATTACAATCTCTTGCAGTATAGCAATGGTAGATTATACAAGCATTGGAGGAAGACCTGAAATCAATATGGACAAAATTTACCTGCTTCATCTTGACAACCCTCTTTCCTTTACACAAATATAAGCGTGTCTCGAATTCCTCCTCCTCTGGGGTCTTAAATCCAGATGCAACACCTCCTTCTAAAGGTATAATGCATGGTTTGAAATAGGATAAGAACTTATCAGATTCATGACCTTGGATTTCTCTGTGTTGCACTGCTCGTCCTCCGAGCATGGTATCAAGTTCCACAGTTTTAATTGCAGCTGTTCCAGCTTCATCCTAACGTATTATTTCAAAACCTAAGGGGAAACATATGCTTGACAAAAGGGTGACACAAAATGAAGACAAAAAAGAGGCAAACCTGACTAGTATCCTTTCCCAGCCAAAAGTGTATGTCAAACAAATAAGAGCCTCCTCTACCAGAAGTTGTCTGAAAATAGTGTTATTGATTAACCGGTGTTATCTATGTCCATTTAATTAACCATATTAAAAGATAGAGTTGTACTGATATGAGAGAAATAACCAATTTGCACCTGCAAGATTATGTATGAGTCCCCTGAGTAGAATTTACCATAATCAGATTTTGGCAAAGGAACTGGCTGGAAATTCTCAACTCTCCAAATCTCAATCCCTCTACAGGAAGTTAAGGGCAACCTAAAAGTCAAAATGCCTAAAAAGTTCATACTCCCTCTGTCCCTAAAAAGAGTCATCTTTGCTATTCCAGGGTCAAGCTATATTTTTTTCTTTACCCATTTTCATTGATCATATGATAAAATAAAATAGTCAAAGTCACCACTTCTTTTATATAAGTCTTGATGTAGTTTTAAAATATATAACTTTTATTGTTAAGTTTTACACCAGTTTTCAAAAATATTGAATTAAAATCAAATTTGGTCAAGCATTGTAAACCGAAGTAGGACTCTTTTCTTGGGACAGATGGAGTATAAGGGATGAAAGATCATGTATGGGTTACACGTTTAGTTGGGAGAAGATGAAGAATGAAATGCATGTAGATAAAGAGCCACTGCTTGGCTTTGCTGATAAGACTCAGAGCCTTGGTGATCAAGTGCTGGAGCCCAAATTAATACTCCGTATTAGTATTATGGATGTTAACTAAATAGAATCCCAATATGAATAGGAAATCATTGGCCCATTACTAATACCAATAATATGAAACTAATACTAATATTACTAAATGCTAGTGTTACTAAAAGGAAACTAATAATAACATAGTGATAATAGGAGAACTTCTGTGCTGCCCAAGCACGAGACACCGGTTCTAGTGGTCAGATCATATATGATGCAAGAAGATTCCCAACTCCAGCATGTAGCCACACATGCATCGAAACAAACTAATAAACACATCAAATATTAGTATGGAATAGGATACGCTCTTTGTCCTGCTCCCTGAAATGCTGGTTCCAAAACTTTCACAGAGCCTGACATTGTCTAGATGCAGAGTTTATTTATCAATAATGACACGTGCAGCTTCAACTCTTCCCTCAGGTAGTAGAAGTCTATACAAAACCAGCTACAAATATGATTAGGAAGCATGAAAATCATCACAGAGAGAGAGAGAGATGAAACAGTAAAATCAAGGCAAGAGCTTAGGAAACATTCTATTATTTTACAAATTCACCAGCTAAGAAAACAAAGAAAATAATGCATCAACTAGGCAACTACCAAGTCAATAAAGACATTCAAAACCTAACTAATTCTGTAAAAAATAGAGAGTTAGGACTTAGGAAGTACACATCTTTTGCATAAAACATAACAAATTTGTAACCTTTAGCGAAATGATGCACACAAATCCCTTGATGCAACATGCTGCTTTTTAAAACACGGAAACTTTGCTTATTGCCACTTTTAATAGACTCCAAGTCCACAACATATACGACATAACCTTGCAATTATATTAACAATTAATGCAGCAAGGGTAACAAAAATCAGGAAGACTATAGTATACTTAAATAAGTCATTTTGGTAAGAATGATAGAATGCCACCAGCCACCCTATATGGTTATACCAATGTGATATCAGCATCACTGATGCTTGTGAGCATCAGCAAATGTTCTATAAAAATAATGCAAAACGTATGCTAGAAGTTCATGGGAACATCTATTTACAACTTCTAGCTGGCAGCTTCCATAGGTCACCCTCTGGTGATATTCTTTTGTATCAATTGTGATAACTTAAAAACTGCCCATTAAATCATCAAAAAAATGGGAAATTTGGCCTGATGGAAAACTTGGTAACCTTATGCGGAAGTTAGCAAAAGATCATGCTCATATGAAACGATTCCAACGAACACTGAATTTTTCTGGGGTGGGCTCACAAACGCAGGATTGTAATCTAATTTGGACTTATAACTACCCGATCAAATACAATCTAATTGAATTAAAATAGTATAATGAAATGGAGCTTTGTCGGAATTAGACAGTGGAGGATGACACTAGAAACTTTCTGGTTCTATGTGTATGGGTTGCCGGAATGGTACTGGATGGTAGTGTGAAACAGAGTAAAAGAGAAGAGTCGTCAAAAGGCTATCCTTAAGACAATATCGGCCGCATGCTGCACTGGTAAAATAAGGCTGACTTGCTCGTAGGATAAAACGTCTAACGAGTTAGGCATATGTGTGGCTTGCGTTAACTTAGGTGAACTCAAAAAACGAATGGGAAATTATTGACGGAAATTATGTGTGAAGTCTAACACGTAGGTTCATCTTTTATCCTTCCATAAAAGCAATTTATGAAGCCATAAAGGGTTTCACCTTGATAAGGAAGCATATGAGTTGAGTTTCCAATGTGGGAACACGTCCCCCATTTTAGATAAAACTTCAAACACTTCATTTAGTTCATTTATTACTACTCAATGGGTCTACTTTAAGCATAAATTTCTTAGTTACTCATTAACCATTTTTTACGTACAACATACCAAAACATTTGTTTTTTGCATCACTAAGTAGAATGCATTTTCATTTTGTAACGGTGTTATAGCAGGAGGATTATGCTATTTAATTAATTAAATATCCTTCCCTAATTATTTTAATGTATTTTAGTTAAAAGTATTGAGCAAATTTATAAGCTATAGAGTTTTATACGGTTCTTTTCTAGGTCGTGAAAACATAATCGAACTCACAAGGTCCTAGAGATTATATCAAAACCCAAATTCTCTCTCTTCCTTCTTCTTCCCTTCTCACGACTCTCTCTCTCTCTCTCTCAACCTTTCCCTCGCCTCTATGCTTCTGAAGCTAGAATTCATTCGAAGCCTTTCCCTATCACGAAATTATTCATATCAAACGACCCAAACCATTATTAGACCACATTGATATTGAAGCCCTAAATTGACCTCATAGGCCCGTTTTGCTTTATTTTTCCAACACAAGGAACACTGCACTCAATTCCTCGGTGTAATATTGTCCTACTCCACATGTTGCATAATATGCCGCATATATTAAAACAAGAAACTAAAGGAGAGGTATCGCGATAAGAAATTAGCATATATGCATTCAATTCCAACATTTAAGATCCGAAATCAAAGCACAATGGGTTCGTAGACGCACCTTATGAAAACGGATACGATGCATAGAAGAAGAAGAAGAAGAAGAAGAAATTGGTGCGGCGAAGTGAATATTTTGATTGGAGAAAAACGCTCTTTTTTCCTCCCAACTTTTGAGGTGAATTCTGGCCTTTGTTTTCCCGTCTGGGCGAAAAAACAGGGGAGAGTAGAAAGAAACGAAGCCATATGCGTGCACGGTATAGAAAATTACAAAGACGATGATCATTGAGAGGGAGAGAGGGAGGGGAATGGTGAAGAGGCTAGATGTTCGGATAGTGCGTGTGAGAAACAGTACTTTCCCCGTTTATCTGAATGTTTAATTAAAATTATTTTTAAATTATTTTATAATTAAATTTGTATGAATTTCAAAAAATAATATCTACGTTTTCAAATAATTATAATAAAATATCTATAAAACTAAAGGTGACATGATAATATTATTTTATCAAATGAGCAACGAAAATAAGCCAACAAAATTAATAAAATTTCATCATGTAAATAGTGAATGAGAATATAATTTTTAGACGAAAGAAGTATAATTTTACAAAATTTAATATTTTAAAAATTTGATATATCAAAACTATATTTTAAATTTAATCTAATTTTACTTAATTTACATTAAGGTAAATTTCCACAATGGTACTCACTAACTATGGCATGTTTGGCTTTTGGCATTTTCGATGGCTTTTAGCTGTTTTGACCAATTTTAGTATATTTGACTGGTCAAACAATCAAAAAGATGTTTGGTAGTTGGCTATAAGGGTTGGCTATAAGGATTGGCTATTTGAGTTTGAAAAGTCAAAATTTAAAATGCTACGGGAGTAGCGTTTCAGTTTGGCTGTTGGAAGTTTTAATTTTTTTAATTGAAAATTATTTCATTATTGTTTTAGTCAATAACCATTTATTTTGTATAAAACTGTTCACGTCACATATGAACACCATACCACATGTGATGCCAGAAGTGCACATTTATTTTTATTAAATTTTCTTAAAATCCCTCCACTTTCTAGCATTAAACAACCTTAGTTTTTATTAAAATTTTATAAACCCTTCACTTTTTAACACTAAATAACCATTATTGTTATTAGTTATTTATCGACACTTTGCTTTTGAAAATTTTTAAAAATATCTATTTAATTAGCATTCCATATTTTTTAAAATGCACAATTATTATAACATAATAATATATAAACTTCATTAACTAAAAAACAACATTGTATATAATTTTAAAAACTATTCACCATTTATTTCATTTGAATACTTCTCAATAAAAACTAATACAATTATATATGTTTTATGTTAGATATATGCATTTTTATTTAATACAATACTAATTTCATACAATAATTATTTTCTAATATATTTTTCAACAAACTAAGGAAAGAAAAGTTTGTTTAAATAAAGGATGACATGTGACATATGCCACATATGGATTTTCTAATGACATGTCATTGTGTAATTGATTCATTTGGCATTTCTTTTTTTAATAAAAACAATTTTCATTAACACTTCAATCAATGACCATTAATTTTGTAAAAACTTTTCACGCTAGCTATACACACCATGTCACATGTCTTGCCAGTTGTGCATACTTATTTTTATACTCCGTATTAAATAAGTATTACTTTTATTGATATGTTAAAAATCTTCACTTTCTAACATTAAATCACCATTATCTTTATTAAGTGTTTATAAAACCATTTACTTTTTATAATAATCATTATGTTTATTATTTTTTATAAAACTCTTCACTTTCTAGCTATTAGAAAAATATAATTTCATTCTTATAACATATTTTTAAATATGCATAATTATATGATTATTCAAAGAAAAGTATTACTCCGTATAATTTTATTAATTAAAAAACTAACATTTTATATATTTTTAAAAACAACCCAGCATTTATTTTATTTTGTTATTTCTAACAAATAGCTATATTTTATTAACTATATATTTTACTTTAAAATGCATTTTATAGAAAATTATTTAATTTTTATATATCAAATTATATTAAATAAATTTGTTTTGTTTGAAGTATAACACATGGCATATAGGCCATATACCACATACATATTTTTTAATGATTTATCATTACTTAATTCGTTTATTTGGCATTTTTATTTTATTTTTTCAATAATTAAATCAATTTTAATTATTATTTCATTTGATAACAATTTGATATTTTTAGTCAAGTTGCTCTATACTTTGACCACAAAGTATGCAAAAAGTATATTATATTTAATTATAATGTAAATTTAAAAAAGTGTGTCCATTTAAAATACGGTTTTCATATATCAAGTTTTTATGAGTTTTAATTATTTAAAATTGTATTTAATTTGTAATCAACGTGTTATATAGTTTTACCAAAAAAGTAAAACTATGATAATCGTTTTGAAAAAATAATTTTACTTTACCAATATATATAGACACACAATATTTATTCTTCATTTTTTTACTTTCATTTAATTCATAAGAAATTATACATACATATATATACATACATACATACATACATACATACATATATATATATATATATATAGACACACGATATTTATTTTTCATTTTTTTACTTTCATTTAATTCATAAGATATTATTAATACAACTTTTTAATGATTTTTACGTTTTATTTTCTCATTTCATTTTTCTGAAATTTTTAAATTTTAAATTTTATTTTTTTAGTATTTAATTTTTTAACTTTTACTTTTATTTTTATTTTTTACATATATTATAAAATTTCTTTCAAGAAAAATGATTTTAAAAAAATTAACTTTTCTAACAACCAAGTCCAAATGCTACTCCCCTTGGCATTTCAGATTTTGGCTTTTCGGATCAAAATGGCAAATGAAAAACTTATTAGCGTAACAATGGTTTTGGCTCTTCGCTTAGTCAAAAAAAAACTAGAGTAGTCAAAGATGCCAAAAGCTATTCAAAAAGCTTTTATCGAACACAGCCTTTATCAAATACATCATATATCATTAGAGAATTTAAAGTAAACAATATTTTATTTTTTAGATGTTAAAATTTAAAAAATATGCGAGCTCTTTCGGAATTAATACTAGTGTGATGTAAATTAAGGTCATTTCCCAACCAGTGCATGTTTAATTTTCCCAATGATTGAGTTTTTCGATATGTCAACCTTCCCAATGAAGGGTTAGTTTTATCCGAGTGTTGTGTCTCTCGAGGAATGGACGAAGAGAATTAGCTAATTTTTATAACGAGGCGAAGGTTTGGACGAGTCTAGAAGTCTTCTCAATTTGATTTGAAAATAAAAATTGGAAAGACCCTAATCAAGGTCCTAACATACAGAGTATATGCCCAAATTTAGCCAGGACCCTAATCCAGGTCCTTACAACAGAGAGCAGATTCGGAGCCACTTTGGGTCAACCAGAACAAAACTAAACTAATATATTAAAATATAACTGAGAACGGGAGCTAGAAATTGGGTCCGGGCCTTAAAAGACCCAAAAGAAGGCTTGTTTTGAATGGAGGGCGAATGTCTCCTTTTATAGGAGAAATTTTCGGTTCAAACCTCCGACAGGCGTGGGTCTAAGGTCCAGGCGCACGCCTGAGGTCATGTCTTCAAAAATGTTGACTTCTATACTGTTTGACAGTCCAAACAGATGCATCCTCTGCAGCCTGGATGAGCCACGGGCCATGGGCACTGTTCCGGATACGAGCACTTCGCCAGCCAATCATGAACATATCTTGATATACTTCCAAATCAATGGAAAAAGTCGAATACACGAATATGAAACGCCACTCGAAAGTCATCACATATGAACATGAATTGATTGGGAACTAGAGTACAAACTCAAATCAAGAATAAATGAAAAATTTGATTTATGATGTGAACTTTTGAGATGATTTATTAAAACGTTTCAACTTTATTTTAGTTCTATTTAACAGTTTTCTCCAAAAATAACATCCTAGTTTGATTCTTTTTGCCTCTTTGAACTCAAATTAGATATAATGGTAAATTAAAAAAAGTTACAATAATTTGAAGTATAAAAAATACATCTTAAAATATACCTACTTATATTAAATTTAAATAAAAATTAATATTCTTCTTACATAATTGTGATCAAAATTATCAAAAAAATTCAATGATAATTGTGATCAAAATTATCTAAAAAGAACAAATAAAAAAATTAATTTTCGGTCCCCAACATAAAGCAAATTCAATATTTAAAATATTGGCCAAAGCATCATATTTGCTTAAAAATAAAAAAAATGGAAAGGTAGAAGTTATACCATGACGTGTCAATATTTTGTGGCCCAAAAGCTTTTAAAATCTCCAAACGGTAGAGGCATTTACGTTCGAGTTTTGACATTTCTGAAATACACTGATGGGGAATGCTTTTTCAAAAGCAGCACTCATCAGGAATTAATTCTGTAAATTAAGGTTTGAAGTCCCGACTTGGAACGTTTTCCAGTGCTCTACTGCTCTGACATTTTTCTAAATAAAAATAGCCTTGAACTTACAAAGACTCACAGAGAGCAGCGGGATCGATTAACGGAAGGCCTTAAGAAGAACCTCCCTTCCGAAAGATGACCACAGTCTCGAACTTGGAACTATCTTCCTTCCAACACACCCCTTTTTACTGGTAGAAATATTCATTGGCTGAAAATGTTATTTCCGCCCCTTTTCATCTTTCGTTTACAAGCACTCATATGTTTCAATTAATCACCTGTAACCCTTTATCGTTTTGTTTGTTTTTGTTTTGCACTTGGCGTCATTTACAATGTGTGTGATTTTATTTCTTGCTTATTTTCTTAGTCAGTGCCGAATTTCTTGATTCCATTTATGTAAATCTCACATATTGTTTGTAGTGAGGAAAATGTGTACCAGCTTTGCAAGAAGCTATGCGCTGGTGGGTTGGCAAATCCAGATGCTTCTGATTTGTTTGCTGTGTTCATTTGCAACGATAAGAAGCAGGCATGCCTATCTCCCTTTGTTCTTGATTTTTCATCGTCTTGATTTGTTTAACTTGAGATTAATAGATTCATAAGTGTTTTCCCAATTATTATAGAGTTATTATTGGTAAAGTAAATTATTTATTCATTTATCACTTGGAAATTTCAGAGCTGTGAGTTTGGAATTAGGTTTAGTGTTTTGAAAAAGCTATTGAATTCCAACCGGAGACTAGTGTTCTTATAGTTAATAGATCCGTTAAAATATTCAATATGAAGTGAGGGGCCACCCGGTGCACAAAGCATGCCCATTGAACAAGGGTCCCAAGACTCCCCCACTATAATGGTGTGACATAGGAAACCGAACCTTACATTTTTGCAAGAGGTTGCTTCCAAGTCTCAAAGCTGTGACCTCAAGGTCAATGGTGCGACACGTCTTCCCTTCTTGTTACTATCGAATTCTTGTGATAAATTATTGGTCTACCAATCCTACCATACAGTAATAGGATTGATGAGATTGAGAGATTGATGTTAGATAACTAGAAAGAAGACGGTTTAGATGTAAACGGACTTGCAGACTATTGGATCTGTCTGAGAATGCAACTTTGCCCATTGCCATGACATTCTTCCAGGTTCCACTATGGAATCAAAAGGCTAGCCATAGGGCTGATGGAGTTGTTCTCTGGGATTATCATGTTATATGCATACAGGTGAGAACTTCACTTTCCGTGTCTGGATATCAAACCTACGCCATACAATAATGGAATAAATGTTTTCACCATTATTGATCTTGATTTTTTTCTTCTTCTTCAGAAAAGGAAAGACGAAAACTCCTCCCACCTAGTGTGGGATTTAGATTCGACTCTCCCATTTCCATCTCCTCTACCATCCTATGTTTTTGAAACCACTCGTCCTTCCTTTCCGCTATTTTCAGAGTTTAAAAGGTAACAAATATCTTGTCTCAATAACACACACACACATATGACCACTATTTTGAGACTTGGTGCTTCTTATATTATATCTTTATGGACCCCTGTCCCCCCAATTTCAGGTACTTCCGTATTGTGCATGCCCCAATTTTCCTCAGGTCTTTTGCATCCGACAGAAGTCACATGATAGATAATGCAGGAAACTGGCAATCTCCACCTCCCACTTATGAAGCCATTGTTGCTGAAGGTAAATGCAAGAACTAAGTGTTAATTTAGCATTTTCGTGCTGCTAATGCAGTGCACAAAGCCAAAAACATTATATGATTCGGCTTTCATGAAACTAATCCTTTTAATGTGCTTTTATTGTGATGTTTTCTCTAATGCTGTTAGAAGGAGGGCACCCACAAATGCCTTAAGAATTGTTCACCCGGGGACTCGGGGAGGTGTTAAAACTTTGTGTGCAATTTTGCATTTTCCCTTAATTTCTATCAACTTTATCTTAAGAGTATGTTTTCCTTCAAGGCTTAAATAACCGGTTCTTGGTGATACCTCATTCTTTTTGCTGAAGTGGTGAATTGCTTTCCTTTTCTGCCCGTGCTTTAGTGTAAAAGCACGTGATGGTGATAACTCATTCAAATGGCGAGAATACATGAAATAGAAAGTGTAAAACTGAATGAAAAGGTAGGGTAGATTATGTTAATAAAAGAAGTATGGCTTTAGTTTTAGGACCCCCGGTTTGGAAAGTGTGACTCTTTTTGGAACAGAAAATTTTAAATTTTAGTCCAACTGTAATTTCTTTGCATTGATTTTTGAATGTTTTAGGATATATTAAATTGATATAATTTGATTAAATAAAAACCATATAGAAGTGGGTGTGTGTGTTGTATCGGAGATCGTGAAAGTTAAATTGTGACTTTCTTTGTGGGATGGACATTGTATATTCGTAATGCCCAAGTTACAACCTATTAGCAGTTCTTTGATGTCTTTCTTTATTGCCATGTTAGTGTGTCCTAACCTCAGCTTATGTATTTGTGCATCCAGATGGAACCTTGAACAATCTAAATGAGTACATTGATGTCTCTTCTGAAGATGCAGCCAAAGATCTCTCAGCTGATGCGGTGAATGCAGTTTATGAACGAAAATTTGGCATTGTAGTGGTCGGAAGCCAATTGGAGGAATTCCTTTCTCTAGTTAGTGATCCATAGGAACACTGTGTTTGTGCTTGTTTCATTTCACCTGGTAAAAAGCTTGGGACATATTCTTCTGTTCTGTGAAATGTTGTATAGATGCAATTATGTACTAATGTACGGAGGATGATGGTGTTCGGCAAAAAAGTTTGATTATAGGACGATTTACTTTAAATTTGAATTATTTGATGGTATTGGTATTGATTTTTATTTATGTACTAGAACCAAACTGATGTGTTTGATGAGGATGACTTATGTGATCTGATTGTGATTTGTAACACAATATAATAGTATAATAAAATAAGGAAAAACTATTTAAAATAATCTCAATTTTATCGGGTCTTTCAAAAATATAATCTTACTTTTCACTGTGATACAATAATCCCAATTTCACTGAAATTTGTGAGTTTTGGATTGTCGTTAAGTTGCTAACGGCTGGTTAACGGAAATAAATTGTTTTGCACAAAAAATAGAAGTTGAGATTATTTTTGATAAAGTAACTAAAATAAAATTACGTAAAAGTAAGAAAATAATTTTATTATTTCTTACGGAATATTTTTTTATTCTTATTTCCACTTTAGAGTTTTAATAAAAAAATTATTTTTTTATTTATTATTTTTTTATTTTCATTTTGTACTAAGGAAAAATGACTAAAGTTGGAGTAAAACATTAAAAATATACAAAAATAGAATTTCCATGTTTTTATTCCCAAAATAGGAGTTAAAATACATTTACATTACCAAACATGGTCATGTACATTACCAAATAGTATAGTAATGTATACATATACAATGCCACATTACCGCAGTGCGTACTCCTATTTCGGGAATAAAAACATGAAACTTCTATTTTGATACTCCTTTCTATGTTTTAGTCCTATTTAAGATGATTTCTATTTTACCAAAAAAAAGAAAACAATACATTAAGACTTCATATAATGCCTAAAACGTTATAACCCACCACTCCATAATTTTTAGTTTTATTTCTTATCTATTTGATATTAGTTTTTATTGATTATTTTTTATTTCATTAATTTGTATTGTTTATTTTTCTTATTTTTGTTATTTTTTGTAACAATTTTTTTAAATTTTTTTATGTAAGACTAATCTAAAAAAAAGGAATAATGGAGGTTGAAACTCATTTTAAAAGTTTAAGAAAAAATTTCAAAAAGAAAAAATTAAAATTCAAAAAGAATATTCATAAAAAATAATCTCAACTTTCATTTTGTTGCACAAAACAACACTATTAACCATCCCTTAGTTGTTTAACGGCAACCCAAAATTTACAATTTTCAATAAAGTTAGAATTATTATGCTTCACAATGAAAAGTAACATTATTTTTTGAAAGAATAGATACAGTTGAGATTATTTTGGATAGTGTTTTATAAAATAATTAATAATCATAATCAGCTAGAAGAATCACAAACAGTTCTTCTAGTTAACTAGTTTCAAGAACAGTTCTAGGAATTTTGCCAAACAGACCATAATGAACTACAAACACGGACCAAATTTGAATATGAACGGTGGTCTTTGATATCCTGCCAATTTCTTGCTCCGCGAGCTGAGTTTATAACACATGTTTAGGCCTCCTCTTCAGTGTCTGAGAGCAAGCAGTCCTCTATTTGCTCCCTGAACAACAAAACAAGGAAGCACATTGACATAATTTGAAGAAGGGCCATCAAAACTTAATTATATGCTGAAGGCTCTGTTTGATTGTAAGAAATTAATAGAGTACACTGTTAAATCCCCACCCAAGAACAAATATGGTTCAGGAAAAAAAATGAGTTCAAAAGAAGATTATATTATTTCAGTTAAAGGCAAGGAATCAAGAAAATTGCTTTCTACCTCAAATAAATGTTTTTTTTTTGGGTGTTTTTCCTTCAACATTGCTCCTTAAATTTGACATTTTTACTTCTGGATTAGTAAAATATAACAAAATGTACCATATGTGCACTTCGTTTAATATTACATGTAATAAAAAAATAATGTCAAAACAGGGCTGCCACCACCCACCCAAAGTCACTGCCTCATTTACCCTACAGTTACCCGATCGGCTGCTCCCCAAGTCACTTTCTGCTGCCACCATGTTCCACTCTCACTACCTCTTTGGAATTACTACCACCCCCTTTATGGTGTCTGCCACACTGGCCACTAACATCACCACCTTGGTTGCCATCACACACCACCACCTTGGTTTCTGAGGCGTCATATCCCAACCACAACTCAGAAGATGCCAAACCCCACTGACCCCAACCCCCAATTCAGAGAAGAGGAAGCTCAAAACCACACAATCTTAAACACTACTTAATTTTCTGTCCAATCAAACAGACCTTTTGATAAAGAAAGCATTTATTACCTTAGCCAACTATGATTTAAAGACCTTGCATCATTTGCTCGAGCAACTATTGGGTCTGGTAGGAAGGAATGAAAAAGGTTCAAAGATGAGAGCTCTGCAGGTAAAATCTGGAACCGGCAACTCAAGCAGCATAACTCCATAAGATCCACACTTGTTTGAACATCCTCAGAATGGGTCGTAGTTGTTAAGTCGGTCATTTTGATTGGACTGTTGCATACAGGACAAAGTGACTCTTGAGAAAGCAAATTATCTGTTTTGAGAATGCGCTTCCTCTGCCTCCTCTGAGATGCTGCAGGACCATGAGATTTACTATCTTCTGGAATCCTATTGAAATGAAAAGGGGTAAGCTTTCCAGCCGTTCTTACAATTGTGCTCTCTCTGGAAGGATTCTCCTCCTGAAACATGATATTTACATATTTGTTACATATGAAATCAACTTTAAGCCAATGCTCTGCAAGGGTCAAAACCTATACTAAGTTTGAGCTCGCCAAAATCCAATTAGTTGATGCCCGTTAAATGATTTTGTTTTTTGAAGACCTTGATTTGGCAAGACCCTGAAATTCAAAGCACTTTTGAAGCCAAAATCTGATAAACCATATTAAAACATGGAGTAACATTTCGCACAAAGTCACAAATAAATTCCCTTCATATGCAAACATTCAAATTAAGTCCAACTAATAGCAGACTATCTGTCTATAGAGAGAAGACATAAAGAAACATGTCTCAGTTATAGTTATGGGAAATAAAGTTCTTAATGGACCCCGGCAAATGTTTTGAATATTGATTCCTCACCTTGCTTGTTATCTTAAGCAAGGCATTGAATATATTTATATATAACAAATTTGATTTGACAGTGTGCTTTTTACCTGCAATAACTTCACAAATGAGGAGACCAGACCATTGATACCAGAACGTTTACCATGAAACACTTCTACTGTCTTTAAACTGCCCTACCAAAAGATTAAATTAGTTCAATCATGGAGTAATAATGTAAAATACACAGAAAAGTGGAAGATATTACTTCATGGAGCACACGACAGGCTTGACTAGAATATATTTTCCTCATATAAAGGACATTTGAAAGGAACATAGCACTAGAAAGCAATACATTTGACAAACCTTTCCAGGCAGCACAGCAAGTCAATCTCATGAGAGAAACAATCACGAAGGGGGAGCACTACTGGGACTTCCCACCTTGCATCAACGTACTGGATATCTGCAGCTAGCGAGTAACCTTTTCCCTGGAAGAATATTATGGTAAAATTGTGAAAAAAATGCTGCCATATTGGAACTTTTGCATACTAGGCGACGTCGGACAAAAACTAAGTCTACAATTATCAGACAATGCAAGATATATTGACTACAGCCATATACAATTCCATGCTGTTTTGACTACATCTAGGTGCATGGATTTAAGGCCTCTGAAGTTTCAGAAAGAAAACAAAATTTTTCTGGTTAATAAATACACATACTAGGCTGTTTGGTTACAAGTCATAAAACAATCATTCATGCTTCTATTTTTGTCAGAAGTTTCGGAAAGAAAACAAATTTTGTCTAGTTAATATATACGCATACTAGGTCATTTGGTTACAAGTCATAAAGCAATCATTCATGGAAAATAAGGACTTTATTCTAGTTACCTCTATTATTAGTAAGCTGAATATACAGTTGAAGACACCACGTGTTCACTATGCAAATTACTCCAGCTTTAAGGTATTCATCACTTCAATGCATCAACTTGCAAATTTTAATAAGACTATGATTAGCAAGTGAGGCATCCTAGTTTATATTTTACACATTTTTGTGCACACAAACATAGTTACTGATGGGGGTGGTGGTATTATTTGTTACGTTCACTTTTTCTCTGCAAACATATTCAACAAGTAATATAGGATGGAGATGCCAACATAGTGAGTACTTCTCATTCATAATGAACAATTCTCACCCGCATAAACTCCCTCTATTAAAGACTTTACGATGGCTTTCATTCTAGAAACTCTATGGGGATATATAAGAACAACAATTTCCATTCTTCAGCATTAGGCTGTCAACTAGGAGTATTATTTGCAGGGATCTTGTGAAGCTCATCTTATATTTCCCATGGAAACTACAACACACTTGTCATATATTGTTATTGATAGAATTTATGATGGGGAATGAGTTACTGAATTGGGTCATAAGACACTTTGATTGAACCACATTAAAAGATTAAATCTGATCGATTAGTTAGTTCAACTCAAAAGCTTATATACCGATTAGTTTCTTCTCTTTTTTCGAGTGTGCGATAACTCTAACACTCTCCCTCAAGTGGACAACCGGACCATTTTGAATCTAACCAACCGGTTGACGACTTGCAAATGGACTCTCATCCCCTTGACTTTTCTTCTTTTTTTTTAAGCGCCAACACCTAAAGGACCACAAGCCACTGAATATGGACTTCCAGACGAGCAAATGAGTTAAACGGGCCACAGATCATTGGGTACATGCTCCATACGGATAACTGGGCTAAAAACTAACAGGCCACTAGGGATGAACGTCTAGACGGACACCTTGTCAAACGAGGTGGGCCAAACCTGCTCCAATACCATGATAGAATTTATTATGAGGAATGTGTTACTAAATTGGGTCATAAGACACTTGAGTTGAACCACATTAAAAAAAATGAATTCAATCGATTACTCAGTTCAACTCAAAAGCTTATATACCAATTAGTTTCTTCTCACTTTTCCGATAACTTATTTTTTAAAAAATAAAATGCAAATAATAACTGGGGAGATAGCATTGAAAGAGCAGAGTTTTATTAAATACTGCATCTCAATTTGCTTGTCTTTTTATTTGCTGACTGGGATACAAACCTTGACGGTTGCTTCAAGTACATGGCAAGCAATCCTTGATGTGCACTTGCCTAACACAATTTTGGTGTATCCATTTTCCAGAGCAACCTGCACAAAGAAATCAGCAGTGGAGATGAGTAGTTTCATCACAATAAAATGCTCTAAGTGTATGTACCCCCTCCGTCCTAAACTAATCTTCTAACAAGGCTTGAATGAGTTTATTTTCAATTCAATTTATTTAAATAAAGGTACAAAATTTCAAAATAAAATTCATACATTAAAAAACTACATCAAATGCTCTATAAAACAAGAGATGACATGACCATGTTAACTTAACAAATGATGAATGAAAATAAGCAAAGGAAGAAGAAAAAGTTTGACGATAATTTTAGGATGGGGACTAGTATTTTTTTTAGGCCAACCTTTTGCAAGGCCAACATGCGCAAATGCTCCAGGAGATCTTCTTTCCCAGTTGTATCGTTTATAGTATTAATCAACTTTTTCAGCCGTTCTCTTCCATTAGAAGGTTCTAATGTGTAGACAGACTCAATAGGGACAACAAGGAACTTTTTCAGTGGCGGAGCCAAATTTGACACAATCAGCTTCATATCTTCTATTGCTATATCAAACTCATGACAATGGTCTGTTGAAACTGATTGTTCATTAACAAACGCAACCCCAACACCAAAAACCGGAAATGCTCGGTCTCTGCTGGCTTCAAAATTCTTCTGAGCTTTGTCCTGCATCTCACTAACAAAGTGAAGAGCAACCCTGGAAGAAAAATACCAGTATACCGTTGTAGTAAATGTTGTAATATACTTTAGTAGAAAGCCAAAGTTCACCTAGCTATTAGTATTTTAGGTGCATGAACAAGTTATAGTTCATACATTGAGTTTTCACTTGTGAATTCTAATTGATTAAAATACACATGCAATTGATACTTGGTAGAAACAATGTCAAAACAGTAACACGGTTATATTAGGAATACAGGCAGCCATAGTATCTTCAAATATTTCATTTATCAATGGTACACTGACTCTGAGAGCATGTTTGGCAAAGCTCATTGCATCTTGAGACTTCAAAAGATCGCAACTGCTAACACCCACGCATTCTACTGACATTCAGGTTATACTATCAATATCTTAAGTACTCAATTCCTTGCTCCTATGATTCTTTTTTAACAAGTTTTTTTTCTTTTAAAGGTCACAACTTTGAGCTTCTTGGATAAGACTCACAAGAGGTGTTTTCCTCATATCTAACCTTAAAAGAATTTTTGTAGTAATGTAGTTACATCATACCTCCACAAACACTTGTTAGTCATAATGGATCTAAGATCAAAGCATTTGCTAGCTCTGTCTTTCGTATTGTTGTGATGCAAAAAAGAGCAAAACCCATTCACTTTTATGCTATGCATTACACCTCCAGGTAATTGTATGCATGAGACATAACAAAAATATAATATCCACGATAGTCTATTTACAATTCACAAACCTAAAACCATAGCCCAATTCATATTGGGAAAGAGCTCGGATGGCTAGGGATGGAGTCTTCCACTCGTACTATACTCCCCTTCTATAATGAATGGTAGGGAATTAATTTGAGCAAACGATGCAGGTCAGCTCGCTAATAATGTCTTCTTTTTTCTAAAATTTACAAGGAATCTCTACCCACTTTCATTCTTCTTCTCTACCCTTCCATACTCTTACCTTACATAAGTATGTAGATTGTAGAAGGCTCTACAATGACAACAACCCAGTTGGATCCCATGAAGGCTCCAGAGTTCTTATAATATTGTAGAGAATTCTAGGCTCATCTTAAAGTGCTACCGAATAATGGAATGTTCTACAAAATCTTAGGACCCCTCTAGAGTGTTCTGAACTTTTCTAGATTATTCCAATTAGGAGGGTCAACAACATCCAAACTTAGTAATTTTTCATTGTCAGAAATATAGGCTTGTGGCAAAGCTATAAACCAGAACTAAACTGGCAAATCAGATAAGCAGGAAACAATAAAAAGACATATACAGATTTACACATGCTAAACTTTAGTTGACTTAAATTACAATTATAGGCATTGACAACTTAGGGCCTATTTAGGAACAGTGTTAGAGATTAGCGTTAGCGCTTTGAAAAGCTATCTACGGGCAGCCTTTAGCGTTAGCGTTTTCGACGTTAATATGCACCCTTAGAATTTTATCCGAAACGCTAACGCTAATCGAAAATGCTATTCCCAAACTGGCCCTTAAACCCTCCTCCTCCCTATTTATTGAGGGTGACTTGAACCCTTCTTAAATCCAAAGGAAATCATTTAATGAAGCAGAACTGACGTATATAGCGGAGAGGGAAGGAAAAGAGACAGAGAGAAAAGACCTGGAGGAGGCCCCTCCGGAGAAGGCTACAAGGACGTTATCTGCAGGCGAGATCATATCATTGGAGGTAACAGAAAACCTGAACTTCCAATACAAATTGCTTCTGAAACAATCAGCACAGAACCTTCCGGCATCTCCATTAAGACCGGCGCCGAAGTCGCTGGCTGCGATGGTCTCATTCAGTTTACATTTTAAGCAGATGCGGTTGCTAAGGGGCTCGGCTCTATTGGAAACATGCTTGTCTCCATTGCAAGCTCCATTATCATCAGTCATTGGATGATTTTGCTTTTCTTTTTCTCCATCTTCGCCGGAGGCGTCTCCTAAGCAACCTGAATTGCAGGTTGATGAATTGCAAGCCATCTTGTCTCTGAGAAGTGAGATCGCAGAAGTACTGTCATACAGAAACTGAGAGTATAGTAGTCAATCAAGAATATGAGTATTTTTTTTATATTTTAAAAAATACTAAGTATTCAATTGAGATTTTAAAAATATTGTTTAAAATTTGGGTGTATTATATTGAAATTAAAAAAAATATTTAAGATTTTGAGGTATTTAATTGAAAATTTGATTTTTTAAATTTAATTGTATTAAAAGATGGGCAAGGTTCCCATGACATTACCCGGGAATGTCATGGGATGACCCGAGGCGCTCCGATGCCCCTTTCGTAAAATTGACGGTTTCTACCCTTAACTCCTCCGGTAAACCTCCCACCTCGCCCCGATCTGAACACACCTCCACCCTCTTCAATTGCACTCCACAAGTTGATTTTGACTTTGGAGTCAAAATTTGACTCCAAAGTCAAAATCAACTTGTGGGGTGCAATTAAGGGGGTAAGGGGTGTGTTCGTGTCGGGGCGGGGTGGGGAGGTTTACCGGGGGGTTAGGGGAGGAGGTAGGAACCGTCAATTTTAAGAACTAGGGGTGGGTTCGGTTTTAACGGTTCGGTTTTTACCTAAAACCAAAGAAGGAACGGAAGGCATTTTGGCGATGTGGTTCGCTTCGGTTTTGTAAAAAAAAAAGAGAGAAAACCAATCGTTATACGGTGCGGTTTTTAGCTGTTTAAATTTTGGTTTTTTTTCAATTATGTGGATTTTTAAAAAATTTAATTTAAAAGTAAAATAACATTTTAGGTAGAGACCTATTATTATATAGATATGCCAAACAATTAGTAGAGAGTAAAGTTTGTAAACCTACAAATAAAAATATAAATAAACTACAATTATTAATAAAAAAACAAGTCCATTTCTCCAACCATTACAGCCAGAATGCAACAACACATACTACATCTTTTTTGTTTCTCATCCTCAATAAGAGCTGATTTCCTTTTCCCCATCAAAAAAAATAAAAACAAAATAAAGAGCAAGTGATACTTTCTATTTCTCGTAATAAACATATGCTCAAAAATTAGTCATGAGAGTTATAGAGAAGAAATAGGAGAATTTGGAAACCAAAAAAATTACAGTCTTCAAAAACATTTACTAAAATATGAGAGTTATAGTTTATAGAGAAGAAATAGGAGATCCGGAAGCCAACAAATTTACAGTCTGGGAAACTTCCATTGCTAGGTATGGGAAACATTTACGGTCTAGGAAAAATTTACAGTCTGGGGAAAATTTATACTCAGGGAAACAATTTACAGTCTAGGAAACTTCAGTTGCTAGAATCATTTGATAAAAAAAATTAAAGAACATATGATTTCATACCTTCTTGGGTTAGATGCTTCAATCTTGGAGAAAAATTGAAGATTCTCGTCACTAACTTCTGTGCTTGAAGAAGAAACCAATAGGCCGAATTGGTTTCTCGGAAGTGTTGGACGGCGCTTGAAGACTAAGGTTAATAGGCAGATTGCGCTTGAAGAAGAAACCAATAGGCCGAAGTAATCAGTTGGACTGCGTCTGCGAATTCAATAGGCCGAAGTAATCTGTGTCTGCGTCTGGAAAATTCCTAAGCGACGGCGCTTGAAGTAATCTGTTGGACTGCGTCTGCAAATCTGCCGTAACTCGAATTGGTTTCTCGGAAGTGTTGGACGGCGCCGTAACGCGAATTGGTTTCTCGGAACTCGGAAGTGTTGGACGGCGCTGGAAGCCTGGAACGCAAATCTGCGATTGGGGAAGTGTTGGACTGCGTCTGCTAATCTGCGTCTACGAATGCAACAAGTGACTAACGCCTAATTGTCTAAATCAGTAAAACTAAGGGGCTGTTTGGCAACTTTCGATAAGTGCTGAACCAGTAAGAGGTCTGAATCATTAAGTGCTGAACCAGTAAGAGGTCTGAACCATTAAGAGCTAGTATATTGTTTAACTATTCAGAGGCAAATGTCTGATCAATTCAGATAAGAGGTCTTAAACATTCAGATTCTGTATAATACTTAACCATTCAGAGGCAAATCTCTTAACCATTCAGACATCTGAACCATTAAGAGGCTGAAACAAACAGTCTGAACCATTAAGTGCTGAATCATTCAGACATCTGAACCATTAAGAGGTTGAAACAAACAACCCCTAAGTACCATTCGGTCAGTTCGGTTCGGTTTTAAATAGCCAAAACCGCAACCGAAACCGAATGCAATCGGTTCGGTTCGGTTCGGTTTTTGAAGTTCGATTTCAGTTTTTGCGGTGCGGTTTTTTTTGGTATTGTTCGATAGATTTCGATTTGGTTTTTGGTTTTCGGTTTTCCGGACCCACCCCTATTAAGAACGGGGCACCAGAGCGCCTCTGGGTCATCCCATGACATTATGGGAACCTTGGTGTTAAAAGACTGATAGAATTTTTTAACTACTGTTATATAATACGGAGTATGACTTTTGATGCATTTTTGACTTTGAGTATAAATAAAAATCTTGATTCCAAATCCCTGGATTTTGTGGACTCCGACCATCTTCTGCTCGTAGAGGTTCTCTTCTGCCTAGGGTTATCTTCTCTTCTACAAGCAGGTTAGGGCGCACGCACTTCTCTTCTCCAACTTCACTCCGCGTCCTCAAGGTAAGGTATTTTCTATCCTTAAAAAAAATAGAATAATGGGTGATCATGTGAATTTTTGAGTGATTATGGTCTTCTCTCTGTCAATTCATCATGTACTCCTTCTGTCCCGTTATATTCGTTCACTTTCAATTTGGCACACATACCAAGGTGATGAGTAAAATGACATAATTACCCCTAAGTTATCCAGCATCCCGCAACTGGCTAAGCCTCCCAATCCTTCAACATCTTCAACATATGTCCACCATCGATCCACTGGTCAACCCCACCCCCAACCTCCTACCCCACATCTAACTTGAGAGCCTCCACCATCTTAACGGACCAGAGGATCGTCAAAAGATTTTTAGCATAGCTCTTGTGATGCTCGAATCTATGGAAGAAGAAGAAGTCCACTACTCAGATCTATGGAAGAAGATTTAGACAAGGTGAAATATAATCATATCGAAGAAGAATATTGAGAGGAGGGGAGAAGTAATCATCGGAGAAAAAGTTAAGAGGAGAGAGAGAATCTGAAGAAGAAGATGAAGGCTGGGAGGATGATAGAAAGAATCGTTGGAGAAAAAAATTAGGAGAGAGAGAACCAGAATAAGAAAATTTGGAAGAGAGAAGGAATCAGAGAGATGAAGATTGGAAGGAGGAGAAAAATAAATCGAAAGAAGAAGAAGATTAGAAAAAGAGAAGGAATTAAAACAAGAAGAAGGCTAGAGAAAGAATTAGAAGAAGAAATCTCGAAGGAGAGAAATTCGAAAGAAGAAGAAGATTATGAGCAAGAGGAGAGGTATGTGAATGAGGGTATAACAGACTTTTAATGTTATTTTTATTGCCATTAAAGAAAAGTGGACAAATATTCTCAGACGGTCCAAAATGGAATACTGGACGAATATAGAGAGACGGAGGGAGTATATGATTATGTTTTCCGTGTCTTATGCAGTAGCACGCTTGGAAAAGTTTCCAATTACAGAGATCCAAAACAACTGGCACGATCATCTAGGTCGCGCCTATCGTTGACACATACATACGCACGGGAAACGTGTGCCATGTTAACAATGTAACACCTCGATTCACATAACCCGATTTACGTCAGTTAGCCGACCAGAGTGCTAGCAATTTGGTAAAATGAGATCTCATAGTTTAAAAAGTAAAATGAGTAGTAATTTAAAAAACATTTAAAACATTGATTTCTCAAACAGGATAAAATAATTTTTAGAGTAATTTAATCAAAACGTTGCGGGGCTAAATAAGATTAAAGAGATTTACAAGTAGGGATCCAAGTCTGTCGACTGTCGGCAGTGCATCGGCAATGTCTTCTTTAGGCGGTCCAGTGACTGGACCGTCCCACTAGGAGGTCAACCGTGTTGAGCCGAGTGGTGTATTCCATGATTTGGTTCTATGTTCTGATGTCCAATTTAACTCCCATAAAATATACTCCCTCCGTCCCACTATATTTGTCCACTTTCATTTTTTCACACCATCCAATACATTTCTTTAATCCATTTTATCTTGTAATTTGTATATTAAAAAATTATATAAATTATATATTAATAATCTATATGTTAAGACAAATCAAACGAGATCACACATGACTATATTTAGGCTTACACATTGAGAGAATTTGATGAGTCAAAGTGCTTAGATGAACAGTTTCAAAAGTCAAAACTAGACGAATATAGCGGGACAGAGGGAGTATATTTTATTTACTCGAAACACCATTCAAATATTAGGTTATCACGAGGTCTAAATATCGGATTTTAACATTGGATTCAAACGAACATAGGTGATAAGTATTCCCTTACAGTTTTTTAGCAATAACAACTTGTAAAGTTTCAAAGCAATAATAACAACTATTAATGTAACCATGTGCTATAAAGGATTATAAGGAATCTAACATTGGATTTGAGTTTGGGGTACATAGATGAGAGTCAATGGAACAAGGCGGTGAAATATATATTTACATATATATTTTCTAAATAGCATATATAATTCTATTTGAACATAAAGTGTCATTTTATGGTTGATGAAACTATATTGTAAGTTTTGAAGGTATTATCTCATATTTTAAGTTATCATTCCCGTCACTCTCATCACAGCTGGACCAGTCTTCGTATTTTGAACGTATCTCCTTCGTTACATGTCAAAATCGAAAACAGTTTGAACTATTGGTTAGATAAGACGTAGCGCTACAATTTTTGTGTTCACATTTCTCGAAATAATTTATAGAAGAAGGTGATAATTACCGCTCATGTCAGGTGAAGTTATGCCTAGAAAAGCAGCATTACTATCAAACTTCAACGATTCCTAAGGCCAACCCGAAGGCTTCTCCTCCTTCAGCCTTGAGTTGATTCTTGTTCACATACAAGGTTTAGGTATAGCGAGCATTACGAGAGCATTAAAATGAGTATAATATTGATAGATGTTAAGTCTAGACTTTTACCTCAAGTTTTCTTTCAAAATTTTATTTATTAATGGAGGGAAGCATGAGAAGGAAGATGAAGGTGAAAGCTCAACTTTCAGGGATTCTATAAGTTGTGAGAGTGTAGAATGAAGAGTCTCAAATCCTTTTTTAGTGTAGGGGTGCTTGAGGGAGGGAATCAAGTCATATCCATCCCAACATATCCCTCCATTAAAATCATAATGAAGTGAGGAAGGTGATTGATATTGAGTGGTGTTTAGACATGGAAGAGATGTGGAGAACAATGGAATGTGTAGAGATTTTTTAAATGTGAGGGGGAATATTTGTGGTGATTTGATAAATTCTTGGTTCTGGAAAAATAGTGTATCTGTTTGAATTTCGGGTTATTTTTCAAATGGTGTTCAATTTCAATACCGATCATGTTTTTGAACTCGGCAAAATAAATATATTCTAACAATGTGTTTAAAATATTTTTCTAAATATTTTTATTTTTCAAGTCACTGAGGCCACACGGTCAAATTGGCGATCTGAGTAACTTATTTTTTAGACTCATTTTTGTGGCATTACATACCTCTCCCCATTAAGAAACATTGGTCCTCGAAATTTAAGTAACACAAGGGATCGTCAGCAAATTCTATTCGTGTTTCACGACCTTGATGTCATTTAATTACTGCAGTTGTTGACATGCTTACTGAAGAATTATTAATTTCTGTAATTAACAACGGAGGGCTAAGCCTCGTATAAATAGATACAGTAGAGTCCTAACTACGGAAGGTAACTATACAAGGAAACCTACCATGTGTACAAGGATTACTTTATTAATATTAAATATATAGTATATACATACTATATTTAACACGCGCCCAACTACGTGACCGGTGATGGACGAATACCAAGACTGTGTCTGAAATCTGAAAAGAGGAGTGAGGGAAGCCCTTTGGTGAAGATATCTGCATATTGAGAAGATGATGGAACATGAAGGACCCTGACGTGACCGAGAGCAACTTTGTCTCTAACGAAGTGAATGTCGACTTCAACATGCTTGGTGCGCTAATGCTGGACGGGATTAGACGGGAGATACACTGCACTAACATTATCACAGAACACCAATGTGGCACGTCGCAGAGGTTGATGGAGCTCAAGGAGAAGATTTCGGACCCAACTCGCCTCAGCCACCGTATTTGCCACGGCTCGATACTCTACCTCAGGACTGGAGCGAGAAGTTGTGGCTTGCCTCTTGGAGGACCAGGAAATGAGGTTGTCTCCAAGGAAAACACAATACCCAGAAGTGGAACGGCGGGTGTCGGGGCATCCAGCCCAATCAGCATCTGAATAGGCCTGTAAAGCATCTGTGCTGTGCGGTGGAGAGTGATCCCATGGGTAGCTGCGCCGTGGATGTACCGCAGGACCCTCTTCATGGTAGTAAGATGAGTGCTGCGGGGGGCATGGAGATGAAGACAAAGCTGCTGGACTGCATAAGTAAGGTCGGGACGAGTGAAGGTGAGATAGTGTAAGGCACTGACAATGGATCTGTAGATAGTGGGATCCGGAAGAGGAGTGCCGGACGTTGCTGACAGCTTGGCTTTGGTGTCCACAGGTGTGGAGATAGGCTTACAGTGAAGCATGCTAGCACACTCTATGATCTCGTGTGTAAACTGAGTCTGATGAAGAAAGAGTCCCCTAGCACTGCGCTGGACATTGATGCCTAGGAAAAAATTGAGATTCCCCATATATGTCATAGCAAACTCCCCTTTAAGTCGCTGAGTGAGACATGTGAGGAGGGCAGGGCAGGATGCCGTGAGGACAATGTCGTCCACATAGAGCAGGAGATAGGCTATGTCAGTGCCACGGGAGAAGACAGAGAGACGTGTCACTCTTGTAGCCACGGAACCCCAAAGTGATGAGAAAACCTGCAAATTTTTTGTACCAGGACCTAGGAGCCTGCTTAAGACCATAAAAGGCCTTCTTCAACCTGCAAACATAATTTGGCCGTGCTGGATCCGCGTTCTTCACGTCGAGCTGGTGAATAGACCATCCTCGGCTGGCAAGAGTAAGAATAATACGTACCGTGGTTGGTTTGACAACTGGACTAAAAGTCTCATCATAGTCGATGCCAAAGCGCTGATTAAATCCACGGACCACTCATCGAGCTTTGTACCTGGACAGTTCGCCTGTGGGGCCTAATTTATGGTGAAAAAGCCACTTACCGGTGATAACATTTTGAGTGGGGGAGGGGGGTACTAATTCCCATGTTTCATTTTTTATCAAAGCATTAAAATTATAACACATAGCACTGTACCAATTTTGATCCTTAAGTGCACTACAATAGGTGGGTGGGAGAGGGGAAATTTGGGCCATGGAGTTAAGGTTAAGGATCTGTTTGGGTTTGGATATGCCGACTTTGGATCGGGTTATCATGAGATGGGTGGTGGTGGTGGGATTAGGCT